TTCAGTGTTTATCATATGATTTAGCAATTCTTTTCCAAGGTATTTATCCAAGAAATGAAAACATATGCACAAAACTTGTAAAGGAATGGTCATAGAAGTTTTATTCATATTAGCTAGAAGCTGGAAACCCATTAAGTGAGCAGTGGATCCATACAATGGAGTATTATACAGCAATATAAAGCAATGAACTACAGATACACGCAACAACATGAACTAATCTTAAAAACACTATATTGAGCAAAAGAAGTCAAAAAAGAGTGTGTGATTTCACTACTTATTAAACTCTAGTTAGATAAATCTATCTGTAGTAATATAAAGTAATATAAAGCCAATCATTAAGTGGTTTCCTAGGCTACAGTTTAAGTATGGAGATTGACTGGAAAGAACACAATAAAAACTTCAGGGGTGATGGAAATATTCTGTATCATGATTAGGTTAATGTATACATTTCTCAAACCTCACCAAATTGCACATGTATGGTGCATGCAATTTACTGTGGGATATATATTATGCCTCAATAAAATTGACTTAAAAACCCATTTTAGAGAGCCTCTTCTTAGGATACAGTTCTAAGAGAACATTCCTCCTATCCTAACATGAAAAAATAGTTAATCTAAAAAATCATAGTTTTACTTGAACCCATTAGAGTATAGAGATCACCAGGCAACAAAGTGAACTAAATTCTAAAAAATGACAAGATTCTCCAAGGGGAACTGATATAAATGAACCATATATTTGACAAGACAAGAAGAAAGAGTGCATAAAGCAATTAAGAATAAATCAGTTAGGGGCACCTGGGTGGCTCAGATGGTTGAGTGTCTGCCTTTGGCTCAGGTCATGACCCCAGGGTCCTGGGATCGAGCCCCACGTCGGGCTGCTGGCTCAGCAGGGAGCCTGCTTCTTCCTCTCCCACTGCCTCTCTCCCTGCTCTCTCTCTCTGTATCTCTGTGTCTCAAATGAATAAATAAAATCTTTAAAAAAAAAAAAAAAAAGAATAAATCAGAGGCACCTGGTTGGCTCAGTCAGAACATGTGACTCTTGATCTTGAGGTCATGAGTTTGAATCCCATGTTGGGTGTAGAGATTACTTAAAAATAAACTTAAGCAAAAAAAGAAGAAATCAGTTAATGTTTAATGGATTTTTAAAGGATGACTGTGCTAGGCTAGTGCTATAGTTTGCAAAAACAGCAGAAACAGAGGTGCTACAGGAAATGTTAAATTTTTGAAAGAAACACATTCATAATGTCCATCTGTCCAAAATATTAACCAGCAGTTTGAGATAGTTCAATTTCATCATTAGATCCCACTACATTACAAAGTTGTTTTTTTATGGTTTCTTTGATAAAAAGTACTATGAGAAAATAAATGTAGAATAGGTATTGAGGGTGGCAGTCTCCAATATGATTCCGTGATTTAAGAAGTTGTACAACAGGTGCACACATCCCAAGGATAAGTACTTGTGGTTACTATCATTTTTCTTTCAATACTCAGAAAGCTAAGATTAGAAAGGAACTTCCTTGACAAGATAAAGGTCATATACAAAAAGGCTATGGCTACTTCCATATGCAGTGGTGAAAGAATGAATTTATCCCAGATGGGAATAAGGCAATTCTTATAATAGGACGCCCATTCTTACCAACATTATAAAAGAAGTCCTAGGAAGTACATTAAAGCAAGAAAAAAAAAAAGGCATAAAAGATTGCAAAGATACAAATAAAACTCTTTTTTCCAAGATATGATAATCTATGTAGAAAATCTCAAATCTGGAAGAAGCTGTTATAACTAATTATTGAGTATAGCAAGGCCACAGGAAAAAGGTTAAATCCAAAAATCAATAAATACTTAAAAATTGAAATTAAAGGGGTACCAGGGTGGTTCAGTTGACTGAGCATTAGACTCTTGGTTTCAGCTCAGGTCATGATCACAGGGTCATGGGATCAAGCCCCGCATCGGGCTCTGTGCTCAGCTAGGAGTCTGCTTGGGATTCCCTTCTTTTTCTCCCTCTCCCTCTGCCCCTCCCCATGTTCTCTCTCTTAAATAGAATCTTTAAAAAAATTGTGATTAAAAAAAGCATTTATAAGGGATGAATTTAACAATTCAGCAAGATTTGTATAGTGAAAAATCACAATGAGAGAAATTAAAGACATAAATAATGGAATATATACTGTATTAAGTCGGACATCTCAATCTTGTTAAACTATCAATATTCTCCAAATTGATTATATGCTCAATATAATCCCAATCAAAATCCTAGCAGGCTTTTGGTAGAAATTTACAATTTGATTCTAAAATGTATGTGGGACAGCAAAGGAATTTAGAAGGCCCTAACAATTTTGAAGAACAAAATTTAGAACTACCACCTGATTTCATAATTTATTATTTATTTAAAGATTGTATTTACTACTGAGAGAGAGCATGAGAGCGCAAGTGGGGGTTGGAGGGGTAGGCAGAGGGAGAGGAAGAGAGATAATCTCAAGCAGACTCTGTGTGAGCAGAGAGGCCCACATGGTGGGGCTTGCTCCCACGACCCTAAAATCATGACCTGAGCTGAAACCAAGAGTCGGTCGCTTAACCGACTGAGCTACCCAGGTGCTCCCATAATTTACTATTTAAACTGCAGTAACCAAAACAGTGTGTTGTTGGCATAGGCAGAAATATAAATTAATAAGACAAAATAGGAAGCCCAGAAACAGACCCACCTACATATGAACAACTGATTTTCAATAAGGTAAAAGAGAAATTCAGTGGAAAAAGTCTTTTCAACAAATGATGTTGGAAAAATGGATATGCATATCCAAAAAAACAAAACGAAAACCTAAAAATATCCCCCCATAACTCCTTTCGTTCATACTGCACATTATATACAAAAAACTTGAGATGGATCACAGACTTAAATGTAATTCCTAAAAGTATAACCATTTTAAAATATAAGAAAAATCTTTGTGATCTTGTGTTAGGCAAAGACTTCTACACACAAAGAAGGAACCATAGAAGGAAAAAAAGGGAGAAACTGGATTTTATCAAAAATTTTTAAATTCTACATTTCAAAAGACACTGTTAAAAAAATGAAGACAAGTCACAGACTAGGAGAAAATATTTGCAGTTTATCTGATACGTGAATTGCATCAATAATTCTATTTATAAAACTGGAAAAAAATTTGAAGACTAGAAAGAAGAATGACAAACACATTAAAAGATGTTGAATACCATTAGTCACTAGGGAAATGCAAATTACTCGTTACCACTAGACACCTACCAGAATGGCGACATGAAAAAAACAAACAAGCAAACCCTACCATACAAAATGCTCACATGGTTAAAGAGCAACAAGAACTCTCATCTATAGCTGGTGGAAACATAAAATGGCATATCCACTTTGGAAAATAGTTTGGCAGTTTTTTGTAAAGTAAAACATATACTTTACCATACAACCTAGAAACCCCGAAGTATTTCCCAAGGTTAGAATATGCCTATCCAGAGACTGGTCCATGACAGTTTACTGCATCTTTATTCATAATGGCCTAATGACTGGAAACCCAGTTGGTGAATGGATAAACTGTAGAACATTCAGTATGAAGAACAGCACTTAATAATAAAAAGTAATGAGCTACTGTTAATGCAAAAACACATTAATCTCAAAAACATTATACTAGGTGAAAGGTCAGCTCAAAGCCTTTATTTTGTATATTCCTTTAAATAACATTATGGAAAAGGTAAAACTATGGGGACAAATCAGTGGTTGCCAGGGACTAGGTATGGGGAAATTAGTATAGGATAACTTTTTTGGGGTGCTGGAAAGGTTTTTGTATCTTAAATATGTTGGTGGTTAAATAACTGTATAATATGTCAAAGCTTATTACAATGTATACCTAAAAAGGATGAATTTACCTAATATAAACGTGATCTAAATTTTTAATGGGAAAAAATATCAAAAACCAGCCAGGGAGGGAATTTTTTTTTTTTGGCTATTTCACCTTAAAGACATTGGAAATGCAACATGTTTCTCTTGCATTATGGTGTCTTTACAAGTTGTGTTCTTCCCTTATGAGTAGAAAAAGTCTATCATGCCACCTAACAACATATTTCCTATCAAAAGATAAAGGAACAGACAAATCAAAATGTTTTATATTTTCCTATTATATATCACACCTCTGAATATCTCTTCACAAAGTATCATCTTTCCTAAGCAGCCGTAAGTTACAAATACCAGTTTTCATTTATATATAAGCATAGTGTTTTAATTTTAAGAGGGGACTTAACCTCTGTATTATTCAAGTCAATAAAATAAATATTAAAATCCCCAAAATCATATTACTTAAGGCCTTTCTCTATTTTAATTTCTAGATGAGACTTAGGTATTTCTCTATGTTTCAGGTGATTCTTATTAGTTGAGTTAAAAAGCAAAAGATAGTTTGATAGTTGGTTTATATTAACATGCTTAAATATCAATTTAGAAACATTTAAAAGTATTTTTTGCATTATTTGCTAAGTAACAAACTACTTAAAATTTTAACAATGAAGCTACATTTGTGAGTTCACATTACAATTTCAAATGAAGCTGGGTTAAGTCCAAAAGAATCCCATATTTAAAAATTAGCTGTTTTTCCACCACCTAGGCCCACCCCAAATCAATATACTCCTTGCAAAAGAAAAAAAACCACAACTATAAAACTCCATTATTATTTAGTCAGAAACAAAGTAACGAACAGGAATTATGCCAATTACCCCAGTGGGTATTCTTTAAATCTCGTGGAAATGAAATCAGTGTCAATCAGTGTATCTATACAACCTTTTCATTATTTAACTACAAAATGGATTATAGAAATTATCACATATGTAATCTACTATGTTTCATGCTATAAAGGTTTGTTTTATTAAGCCACTCACTCTGAAATTAATGAACAAATCATTCACACTCCAGTTTTCCACAGCTTTCCAGTCTAAAATTATTTTCTAACATATCCTGAACAAAGAATATTTTCTTTATAAGCAAACAGGCCATTGCTTTTAATAAGAATCATTTATTGTATATTATTAAAGTGGAGGGTTAACTGGTACAGTACTATGCATAATCTCTCACCCTTGAAAATTTAAACACAAATGGATAAAAATAGCAAAGCAGAATGAGCATGTAAAAGACAAAATTTAAGCATATTTTATAGAGAATGTTCCCTGTGATATTTATGCACTAATGTTCTTCTCCATTGTGTTTTAATAAATTTATGGCTTATTCCTCCTCTACAGGATTGTGGACTTCTTACAAATAATGAACATATTTTCCATCAATTAATATTACATACAGTTTTAGATTTTTCATTCAACTCAACTAATTAGGTGACTAAAATATTCAACTAAATGTGGCATTGTTAAGAAATTAGAGCCCATTCCATTGCCTCAAAATATGTAATAATGTTCTTCTATGTAATCTGTACAATAGGATATAATGCAAATATCCCAGCTACAAAATGTGAATTAAAAATGCCAACCCTGATCTGCTCACTGTATTAATATTATAATTTCATTAAGTATTATATTTTTTTGTTAAATGCTATCTGTGGAATAATCATTTATACTAAACGTGGAAAAAAGTGGAAAAGCTTAAAAAATGTGTACCGGCACTAAACTGTTTAATCACTTTTATATTTAATTATAAATTAATGTTTAGAAAATGAGCTATTCTTCCTATGTTATCTGATATGCCAGGAAAAAATAGATTATTATTTTCCAGGGTAACTAAAAGAGGTATCACTACTCAAAAAAAAGGGGGGGAGGAAAGCTTTGTTTTGTACACATAAAATTTTAGACCTAAATGGATAAAAGGAAAACGTTTAAAAAATACATCCATCTATGGACGAATTTCTGTAGATTGCTCCCACAGTTAATCAACAGGGACACATTTAAGAATATTATAGGCATATACCAATATACTTATATTTGTCAAAGTTAAGATTCAAATTTGCTACAGCACAGCACACATCCAAGAATGTATGCTACATGATTCAAAAAGTTCCACTGAATATAACAAAATAAAAATCTGTGAATAAATATAAGGCTTTCTAAAATAAAATCTGCAGGAAACCAACAAGAGTCCAACAAAGATTTCTACGATCTAAATTTTACTTCATAGATTCACATAGTCTTCAAAATAGATTTAGTTGTAGTGCCACACATTAACAATAGTTAACTGCTTACCAAAATACCTTTTTCCTGGTAGCTAAACGTTACTACTTAAAAAAAAAGAAAAAAAAAAAAGTTAAGTGCTTGGAGTAAGAATGCAGCAGAAAATTACAGGAGCCCACATATCCTTTTTCTTAAATTTAATTTGTCATATATAAGGTTTTTATATACAATCAGTGTGCATTGTAACAGTTTATATTAAAAGTCAATCAAGTTTATCTAAAATGTTACCTGGCTGCATAGCACATTTGACATTATTGCCCACATGAAAAGGGAAAACAAATGGATTTACAATAACTTTTGGCCATTTTGGATTCTGAAAAGTGTTCATACACCTACCCTTTTAAACCAAATGCATCTGAAAAAAATGTTTCCAGAGCATGCAGTTTAGATTTTACATATTATCTCACCATTTTGTTACTACAAACACAATATTTACTACAAAAGAAAAAAAAGAAATAACATGTATCTAATAAAATAGTCAATATAAAAAGAGGACTAATGGAATTAAGTGGCCCCTTTCCCCATTTTTACATTCTAAACAATGATTCCATCAAGACAAATCATTAAAAAGTGTTATTACACTGATATTTTTAAATGATAAGAAGGCCTGAGTTGGTAGGGAAAGGAACAGTCAAAAAAAGCCTGAGAAGGGAAAGGAAGTAAGGAAAGCTCATTTAATCCATTTACAATAATTTACAGCCATTTGTGTGTGTGTGTGTGTATGTGTGTGTGTGTGTAAAAAGGCATAATAATAGATCACAAACAGGAAATTCCTGGCTATTTTACAGATATAAGTACAGAATTTAAATATTCAAGCTTGTGATGAAAAGCGGCAAGGTGGTCGCAGTGTACAATGTAAACAAGTAGCTTTGGAAAGTGAACAAAGTCCTTGAGTGTTTTTTCTTTATTAAGAAAAGAACTCTCTTTCATTCCTTCCTGAAACATGATCACAGGTCAGAGTAAAGTTCATATACAAACATAATTTAAATGGAGGTCAGTCTAAAATCACTGACTTAAAAACAGTTTTATCCAGCCTATATGGAAGGGCAGTGTTGAGGTCCCTGTAATAGTAAACATTTTCCATTTCTTTAAAAAAGAAAAAAAAAAAAGTACTACAGTATTTGTAGTACAGTGCAGCATAATCCTTAAATATAAAAATATTTTCTCTTCTGTTGGGATAATAGACCTTGCATCCTGGAAAGAAGTAACAATACTGCTACTGATAGAAGATCTGTTTATATCTTTCAAGTCATGTAAGGCAATTACTGTGTTGGTTTATGATATATGGCTAAAAGAAAAGTCCAGAAAGACAAAATATCAGTTTTTGTTATGTTTTCCGACTACTCCAGGTATGCTCAGGTGTACTTTTGTGTTCAATTGAGTGTTCAAATGGAGATCTGGAGCCATAAGGAGACCTCTGATCTAGTGGTGATCTGGGGCCACTACTGGAAGCTCTGTGGTCCATTTGCCAATCTGAGTGATACCTATAATCCCTGGAAGATTTATGGTGTGTATATTCAGAACTTGCCCGATGGTCTGAATGTAACCGATGGTCTGAATGAGAACGATGATCAGAATGAGATCTATCCTTTAAACTTCCTTCCAAATTTGACCTGTGATCTCTACTCCTGTGATCATCCAGTTTTCTGTGTTTCTCTCTATCACTGTAATACCTAATAAAAGACAAATTAGGAATTAAATTAATAATGCAAATTAAATGTTTCCAAATAAAATAATTATTAAAAAATAAAACACAAAAATACTTTAAGGCATCCTTTTAATTGTATATAAGCTCTGTGTTTCACTACAAAAACTTCCTAAGTGAGCTTTAGTTATTGGACCTATCTCTGCATGCCTCTCTGGAAAAATCATTCAATTCACAAAACTAAAGTGAACCATACAGAACACCTCAGGCAGCATCTAATTTTACATGCCCATTTTATTTTTTAATTATTTTTTTAACTATTTAATACAATTTTATTTTTAGTTAAAGCATAACTGATGTACAATATCACATTAGTATCAGGTCTGCAACATAGAGATTTGAAATTAAACACATTATGAAAAGCCCATCATGGTTAAGTGTAGTTACCATCTGTCCAAAGTTATTACAATACTGACTATTCCTAAGCTGTACTTTATATCCTCACAAGTTATTTTATACCTGGAAGTCTGTACCTCTTAATCCCCTTTACCTATTTCACCTATCCCCCCCATTCCCCTCCCTCCTGACAACCATCAGTTTGTTCTTTCTATGTCTGAGTCTTGATTGTTTTTTTTTTTTAAGATTCCAGACACAAGTGAAATCATATGGTATTTGTCTCTGAGTTATTTCCTTTAGCTCACATGCCCATTTTTCAATAAAGTTGCTACATTTTATTCTATGCAAAAACTGTACTAATGCATCTTAGTTATCTGGAAGTGAGGATTAAGATAATGATCTAGAATACCCTTGAAATCAGAGCCTTTTATAAACCTCTAAAGCAGAAAAAAAATAAAAACCTCTAAAATGCAGTCTGTGAACTAATTTGCGGGAAGGGAATTTTCATTAGTTGGGGAAAGGTCGTTGTTATAAACAACATAAATTATGTTCTATAAGCCTGTGAAATTATAAAAATTTACTACTACAAATACAGCTTTTCATTTCGTGTGCCCTTTTCTAATTGTGAGAGCCATTCTACAATTGATATATTTAATGACAGTGCTTCTACTACAGAAGGAATTATTACAGTGAGCACAACTAAAATGCAAAGAAAATCTACTAATTTCTTTCTCATTTTTTACTTTTCTGTTTTTTTTTCTTTTCATAATTATCATTAACTTATGAAAATATTCCTTTACCAAGTAAAATGTATTTTGTTGTTATTTAGGTTGTTTACTACTTAAAGGCTTCAAATAACAATAAACAGAGAAACCTTCCTGATTTCAAGACTTCCCAGATTGCTGTGATTAAGTTTAAAATCAGGAAAGTGTTTTCACGTGAGTTAATTTTTCCCGTGTTTTTTTTTTAATGGAATGGAACACAGAACTCCCCCCACCAAATTTCAGTCATATTCCATTGAGCTTTTATTTTACTCTATTATTGTATTTTGAAGAATATTTGAGCCAATATTCTAACACCAACCAATAAAAATGAATCCTATGACTTATTAATTACAGAACTCCCTACACTTTCATCTCTTACTGCACACGTGGATCTTAAATTTAGAATTAAAAAAAAATTTATAGAAATTCAGTTCTCAATATTAACAAAAAGTGCTATGTATCAGTTTTTTTATTTGTAAACAAACACCTTCATTTCACTTAAGATTTGTTATGATTACCTGAATACTGAATTGACTGATAAAGTATTGTAAATTAAAAAAAGACATGAATAAGCAAAATTTCAAAACTAATTGTCCAATTTACCTGCTTTCCTGCTTGTAATGATCCCAGTCACGATGATCTTTACCATTGCTAAAAGAAGAATAGGGTCTTTTCCTAGAGTCACTCTTTTTGTAAGAATCTCCCTGATGTCGGTCTTTATGATGATCATGATACTGAGATAAGTGTCTGTCAGATGAATAACTGTCCCTGCTGCTATCATCATGATTTGTATTCTCTTTTAATCTTTCCACATCTGTTAGAGAAAAGAATACAGCTTTTGTTAATGATGTAAAAAAAAAAACAAAACAAAAGCATGGTAAGCAAAATTAACTTTGCTGCTAGGTTATAAGAACTCCTATTTCAACTCCAGAAAAACAAAATCAGTTGCCCAACAGACAGTTAAAGACTTTAGAAATGGTCTATAAAGGCAGTATAGTAAGGCCTACAAAAGGGTTACTGTATTCTGAAATGTGAAAAAATATAACTGAAAAATTTAAGGCCCATTTTCTTCTCAGACTATACTTTTGTGACTCTTGCACCAATAGAATACATTATTCGAAATAGTATTTTTAAAAAATACATTCACTTTAACAATTATTCTATAAGTTCTAGGAACTGACAAAAGGTTGATTTATGGAAAGGTTAATTAGCTTTAAGAATTACTGTTTAAGATAACAGATTCGATATAGAAATGTGGGTATGTATTATGTAAAACAAACCTGAAAGAGGAAAACAATTTTTAAATTTACTCTCCAAAACAATTAGTAACACTTACCTGGATTTCTAATCACTTGAGCATTCAAGTTGCTGTTCTGGTCATTATTTTGCTAAAATAAATGCACATATGTAAGAATCTTTTAAGTGGCTTCAAATACCCTTACAAAATAGGAAAAAGAAAAAAAAAAACCAAAACACCCTAAAAAGAAAATTCTGATGCTGAAAGAAGTCCTCATATATTAGAATGTATAAATGTATCACTTCCAGATACCTTTTTTTAAAGCATAGACTATTTGTCCCATGACTATCTTAAAAATTTGACTTGAAAGACTTTTAGACTTACAGAAAAGCTGCAAAAATAGTACCTAGAGTTCCCATATGCCTTTTACCCAGCTTCTCCTAATGTTAGTATCTTACACAACACCACAGCATAATCAAAACTGAGTAATTAACATTGGTACAATACTATGAACTGAACCTGAAACTTTATTCAAATTTTACATTTTCCCACTAAAATCTTTTTTCTGCTCCAGGATCCAATCTGGTATTCCATATTAACACTGAGTTTTCATGTTTTCTTAGTTTCCTCCAATCTAGGACAGCTTTTTTTTTTCTTGTCTTCGATGACCTGGACACTTTCGTAGAGTACTAAACAGTTATTCTGTAGAACATCTTTCAATTGGGGTTTGTGTGATATTTTTCTCATGATCAAACTAAGGGTATGCATATTTTTGCAAAGAATTCCATAAAAGTGATGTACCTTTCTTAGTGCATGTAATGAGGGTTTATGATGTTAACTTTGATCAAATGTTTAAGGTGGTTATTAAACATCTTGGAGGAGATACTCTCAGTCTATGCCATATCTTGTTTTCATGCCCACTAATTTTAGCTTCCTTCAGAAGATCCTACCTGTAACAACTTTTATTGTGCTCTAACAGTGATTTTATATTTCCTTCATTCCTTCTACATTTATTAATTGAATTCTTCTATAAGGAGGTAGGTCTCAGTTTTAGTAACATAAAGGAAAAAAATATGATGCATTAATTTACCTGAGATTCCTGCCGTTTTTTAATAGCATGTTTATATAATTTATGTAATTTTCTTGCATCAAACTCCGTAAACTTAGATACAAAAATCCACAGGTTTCTAGAAGAAGAACAGGTAAATTAGTCCGGTGGAAAATATTTAGATTTTTCATGGAACCCCCTAACCTCTAGATAGAAACACACATACTTAGTCTTCTATGGAACAAAGTCTAAGGACATTATTTCTAGTATTTTTAAAAACTTTATATGGCTAAGACTCCAATCTTTTTTTTTTTTTTTTTAAGTAATCTCCTCACCCAACACTGAACTCACAACCCTAAGATCAAGAGCTGTATGCTCCAATGATGGAGCCAGCCAGGTGCCCCCATATGGATAAGACTCCAAATGAGACTAAATACTAAGTTTTACTTCTCTCCAAAATCCCCTCATTTTATAATCTTTTAGAGTGCAAATAGTAATCCATCCTAATTTGAAACCAAAAAACTTTAAACTTACAAATCAGGAAGGGACTCATATTATGATTTATATTAGTATAAAAGAAACAAACCATGGTAGTAGTCCGACTAAAGATACCATTAGATAATGCGGATTAAGTTTGTTTAAGAAGGGTCCTAAAGAATGTGTTAAAGAGCAACTGTATGGGAGCCATGAACAGAGAAACTTTAACTCTGGATCTTGAATATAAAAAGAGAATGTGGCTATATTTCCATTTAAGCCTAATATATATCTATCTATCTATATATATAAAATTGATCTTCACTATATCCCTGTTCTATGGTTCTGTAGTTTGAGGGACATGATATGAGTTGAAAGAGCTTGAGATGTATAGAATTGTTTTACAGTATCTAAAGAAAGCATTAAAACTCCAGTATATGTATTTCAGCTATAAATAAAAGATTAAGCTAGACAATATAGTACTTTAGGATTATTTCCTCTCCTTCCTCTTATCATCTTTTTTTAAAGATTTATTTATTTCAGACAGAGAGAGTGAGCAGGGGGAGGGGCAGAGGGAGAGGGCTTCATCCCAGGACCCTGAGATCACAACCTGAGCCAAAATCCAGAGTCAGATGCTTAATTAACTGAGCCACCAGGTGCCCCTCCTACTATACCTTATCGTTATCATTCAATTGAAAAATATACAGTCCCTTATATATAGTTTATAAAGGGTTTTAAGTACAGATGATGTTATTTTGTGGATGATTACTAGTGGGCTCAGAGATATTCTGTAACTGTTCAAGGTCACAAAGCCAATAATTAGCCAAGATGGGGACCAAGCATGTCTTCTGATGCCAACTCCAGGAATCATTCCATGGCATTATAAGCACATTAACTTCAGGCTATTATTATTGTCCATGTATGGCTTCAGTGTCTTCAGACATGATAGCTCAGTTTCATTTGTTTTCAAAAACCTAGTGATCATAATCAACTTCCTGTCTCCTCTCTCTAACATGGGTCATGGTTGATTTTAAGGAGAAAGGGGACAAGGATAGAATCTTTAGTGTAATCATCAGTCCTTCAGAAATATGTCATTATTACAGTTTTTTGCTTTGATGTGTAGCTGCACTGCCTAGAGCAAGGAAATCAGCAGGCTAATAAACTGATATGACTGGCTGTGGTCATTTTGCAGTATTCCTAACTTGTCTAGTAGCTTGACTTAACACCGATCTCGGTCTGGTAGTCATTAAGTGATTTGTGTAATATTATAGCAGCTCAGATTTACAATTTTAAGACCAACTGTGTTGCTGCTGCTTCTAAAGCAAAGGGGAAGATAAAAATCTGCATTTTACACTGCCTGAGAATATTAATTTTTACAAGGCTGTATACTTACACCTGGAAGATGAATTGCTAAATTCATGTAACAATAAATTCATTTTTTTGGTACTGCAAATTCTGAAGTTATTACTAAGAAAAATTTGGCAAACTAGGAATTTCTAAAAATAAAATGCAACCTGAATTTTAATGAAACAGTTTTCACTTTTTTTTTTAAGACTGTAATTATTTGAGAGAGAGAAAGAGAGAAAGCACATGCGAACACAGGCAGGTAGAGAGGCACAGGGAGAGAGACAAGCAGAGTCCCCACTGAGCATGGAGCCCAATGCAGGGCTCAATCCCAGGATTCTTGGATCATGACCTGAACTGAAGTCGATGCTTAACCCCCCAGGCACCCCTTCACTATACTGTATTTAAAGGAAGAGGTGCCACCTGTGGTTTATCATGATGTATAATTAAGCAATCATTCACAAATAAAAGCTTTAAAGTTAAAGGAAAAAAATGAAAACAATCACCCTCAGATTACCTCTTTAAACATTATTTTGTTACCTAAACCTCAGAATAAGAAAAATAAATTGAAATATAAGACACAAATAGATAGTTACATAATTACAAATTTAACATTTCCTGAAAAGTACATCACTTACTTTCTCCACTGCTTGATTTGTTCAGGATTTGTATACTCTTTCAGACATTCTGTGATATGGTCTCCAATTTTTATTAAACACTGTCTAGTATGCTCCAGTTGTTCTCTTTCTGAAAGGCCTTTTTCAGGCCTATCAAGTTGTTTCAAAGCTGCTTTGACAGGCCTCATCCTTTCTTTACACTTTAAAATGGGAAAATAAGAACATGTATGGAAAATAAGAACATGTATTAAAAATAAGAACTCAACAAAGATCTACTTCCTTCAAATGATATCGATATGAGTAAATACAGCACTGTTTGATGCTAAAAAAGCATTAAAGCTTGCCTCACAGCTCTTAAATATCAGGGTTTTTCCTCTCAGATTTTCTTCAGAAAGTAAGGTTTTCCATTATCATTTAAATTCAATCTTTCTGTATGTAAAAGCTTTGGGTTTATTTACCTTCTGTAAAAATAGTTTTTTTACACCCTGTAACACATCATTAAGCAGTCTTAAACACAGAATGTTAAAAAATAATATATCTCAGAACACAACTTAGTATCCTAGAATCACTCTAATATAGAGTAAAATGTAAAAAAAAAATAAGGATCTTCATAAAATAAAATATGCTGGCAAAGCTATTAAAACCAATATAGCTATAAGTATAAACTGTCTATTCTTCTAAACCTTTGGAAAGTAAGAAAAAGAAAGTAGCTAATGAATTTTGCTCTTATATTTTAGTTGGTCAGGGAATTGGGGATGCTTGATAGGAGCCAACCTTTTCCTTGGCCTACATATCACTGGCATGCCAATAAAAGGATGATGTATCAAAAACTGTATGATTCAGTTAAAGTCCAACATGGGCAATAAACACTATAACCTTAAGCCAAAACTAAATTAAGAATATTACTAAAAAAGCAAACTATACATAAATTTTATTTATGTATCCAAATGCAAAACAAATTTAAAATGAACGGTAATTATATCCTCAAGTAGCAAAGTTGGGTTAGTTCCAGGAATGTTAAGGATGATCAACTACAGACAATATATTTAGCTGATCCAACGCCATTTATTTAAAGAAGAAATCCTATCACTGCTGTGGAAGGGCCAGTCTTATTAAGTGTCTATATATGTATGGAATCGTTTCTGAGTATTTTATTCTGTTTTACTGACCTATTTGTCCAAATCACTTGGAAGTTATCCATCTTCTGTCAGGAATAATTTAAATAATATTAGAATTACATGCTTTTTAGTTATTAGAACTCAGCCAGGCCTGATGTCTTTTTTTAAAAAGGGAAAATCTTTTCCTTTCTAATTTTTAGCAGTACAGGATCTGTTCTCTACATTTCCTGCTTCTTGCTTGATTTTGGTAGTTTCTATTCTGCTAGAAAATGATTCATAAAATGTATATAATTTGAGTGCATACCATGTTCTCAGCATTGTCCCAGACCCAGGAAACAGAGCAGTAAATACAAGAGATTTGCCTTTGCGGAACCTGTACTCTACTAGGAGAAAAGAGCCAATAAAGAAACAAGATGCAGCGTGTTGGATGGTGAAAACTGTGATAAAGAAAAATGAAGCAAGAAAAAGGAGAGAGATTCCTCCTTCACATAAGACTTCAGAGAAGAGTGATGTTTGAGCATATATCTACAGAAAATGAGGGAGTAAGCCACTTTTGAGCAGAGGGACGAACAAGTACCTATGTTCTAAAACTTGTATGTTCAAAGGCATAGTATAAATGCCAGCATGGCTGGAACCTACTGAGTGAGGGAGGTAGCAAGAGATGAAATAATAAACCAGGTGCAGTATCTTTTAGCCTATTATCATGAATCTTTCATCCTGAGCGAGGGAAAGCCACTCAAGGATTTGAAGCGAAAAAATAAGAGGGGGTGACTTGACCCTCTCTGTAACAGTCATTATCACTCTGGTTGCTGTGTGGAGTATGCACTGAGGAACGAAAAGGGTATAAGCACAAGAAGAGTGGGGAGCAGTGAAAAACAGCTATGAAGCTATTGAAATAATCGAGGGCAGAGATGGCTGTAGCTTCAAGTAGTATGGGAGTGCCAATATGATTTGCTCAATGACTGATAGCGGTAAAGAAAAAAAGAGGAATTCATGACTAAAATCTATGTTAAGGCCAAGGCCTGAAGTTGGGAATTGGAGCAATGATAACAAATATTTATAAAGCACTTATTAGGTATCAGAAGCTATGTGTTGTGCAAAGGCACCTCATTTGATTCTGGTAGTAGATCTATGCAACACTATTTTATCGAAGAAACTGAAGCTTAGAGTGAAATGACATCTGTCAAACCCAGGTCTGATCTCAAAGGTTGTACTCTTTCTTAACTGTTAAATTATAAAATGAAATTTAGGAGACAAATCAATATGACACAAAATCAAGAGGTGTCAAATTAGGCAAAGATGTGAAGGAAGGAAAATGAAGACCAAGAAAAGGCCACTGAGTTTAACAGTCAGAGCTAGTCCCAAATAAAATTTATATAGCAGTAAAATCCTAATCATGCAAGCTCAGAAAGTCTGGCTCCAGAGTCCATGTTTAAAACTATTCCATTCTTCATTTCCATAATACAAGTGATTTTAAGATCTATCATGAAAGTTAATGGAGAAGAAACTCGTGCACTGGGTACAACAGGAAGTTTTCCATTTCAGCAGTTATATGAACAAGGCAGAAGTCTAAGGAGGAAATGTAGGCAAAGAAAGGTGGCAAGAGGTACAATTTCACCTCTCAGTAATGAACAGACAGAGTAAGGAAAGCAGTTCAAAAGAGTTCAGTCTTCACTTCAGAAAAGCAAAAGCACACCACCACCTCCTTATTCCCACCCAATAGAGAGGCTTTAAAAAAAAAAAAAAATCAACAGAAAATGGATAGAGAGGCTAGATTAAGAACCAGGTCACAAACAGAAAGGTTAACCTTAAAAAGATGCTAAGGAATCAGCATGTAAACCTGAAGAGATAAAGATGAAAGTCCAGAGATATGTTCAAGTAAGATGGAAGACAGGAACAAGAGTAGCTTATTCTGACTGTCCCCAGCATTCTTAGGGATTGGAGGGATGTAAACAGCCAAAGTGAGGAGGAGAGTAAAACTGTGTTAAGGAACTACTACACTTAAAGAGCATGAAAAATATTTGAAGCTATATTAGGGCATGCCAAAGAATTAGCAGGAATGAATAAATGGGTTCACTGATCAACATTCTCTAGTTAGGGTACAGAGTAGAAGAAAATGAGACAAGCAGGTAACCTGGGCATCTAGAATGGTGTAAGAGGTAAAACAAAAACATGATTTTAGAAGTGAAAATTTCCATCTTTCAAGTATAGCATTTGATTAATATTAACAATAAAACTGACTTAAGATTACACCCAAACAGCAAAAAGATGCAGATTCTAGAGATCCTAAAGAGGAAATATCCTTTTTTTTTTTTTTTAAAGATTTTATCTTTTTAGAGAGAGAGAGCATGCATACTCGCATGTGTAAGAGGGATCATGACCCGAGCCAAATCAAGAGTCGGAAGTTTAACCAACTGAGCCACTAAGGCGCCCCAAAGAGGAAATATCTTATATGAATATATATTTACATATATTTGTGCACACTGTAACTGTATATAAATAAGATACATTTATATCAGACTATAAATTTTCCCTTTAGGTGCTACCAATAATAACGTATCTCTTACTGAAGGATAATTTGTACCTGTCTCATATCATTCAGTCTTTTTTCTCTAGTAACATTACTACTCCTTCCTGATTTTGCTCTGTATCTGGATTTTTCAGTCCTTTATCAATCGATCTGCTGGCATGTCTATATTCAATAAGAACATCCACCCCAACCACTACCAATTTTTTGCGCAAAGCACTAGCTGAAAACTTTCCATGTATCAACTCTTCTGGTCATCATACTGACTTTCCTAACAGCAGCACTCTGGCTCCAGAGCCAGTACATTCAATTGCTACACATAACTGCTTTCCCACACTGCAACCTCACTATAAAGTTTTTCTCAAAATATTTATCACAATTAATTTCAGTTGAGACTATTTTGGGTTCCTGATTATATGCAGTAAATAACTCATTTGGAAAGAGGCCAAGATAGATCCTCCCTGACTTTGGTGAACATAAAAGCATGACAGCATGTAAGACCAGTGTTACTTAAAGTGGCCTATGAACCTGTACTAGTCCACAAGGGGGAATAGGTACAGAAATTTTAGAAACCTTTGTATCAATTTGACAGTGCAATTTTATGTCTACTGAATCTAGTAACATAACGGGGCTTACATTTTGCATTTTTTTCCTTATTTTCACTTTTCTAATGAAATATTTTCACTATTTGTTTTTATTGTACTTTCTAAGAATACTGGTCTATAAAAGATTGGGAAAAAAAGCTAGTTCTTCACTGTAGATAAGAAGCGATGTTACAAAGATAAAAGGTTCAGGAACAGAGTAGTTTACAATTCTAAAGCTGAAGGGAAAAAAGTTTGCTCCAAGTATTCCCTAAATGCCTCTCCTTAAAGTCTTTAATTTATTAAAAAGTTTTTCCAAGTTAATTCTAAATTTAAGATAACTTACAAAATTTAAATTTATTGCCTTTATCAATCTGAACTGCAGTACTACCCAATTCAAATACACTTCTAAATTAAAAAGCTCCAAAAGATAAAACTTCCAATTAACATAAAATATTATATGAATTCTTACTAATAACCAGCAAGTCTACTACTTACAATGCTGAATGTCTTCTGATCTAGCTCTTCAGATTCTTCAGATATGGGAACTGGTTCACCACTTGCGGTGATATGAACTGGAGCATCTGACACTGAAGATTTCTTGGATCTTTCCTTGCTATCAGACTTGGATTCGCTCAACTAAAGAAAAAGAGAAAATAAAAACAAAAATCCAACAAAAACAAAGGTGAAATGATTAAAACTTCCAGAAAACAATTAATATCTCACTTTATTCTACAATAGTTTGTTCACATTCCATACTCTATTTTATCTTTCTGGGAAACCAAAAATAAATCTACTCTGTAATGTTACCCTATACGTAAAGCATTCAAAAAAAAAAAAAAAAAAAAAGATTCAAACCTATTTTTCTCCTTTTCTAGATACCCACATGTATTTTTAAAGAACTCAGTTATTCAGGCTAATTTGGGCTGACAGGCAATTTATTTTCCTAAAATGTAAATATGCTGATTGTGTCACTTTCTAAGTTTTACATTACGATTTGCATACCTTTTCTTCCTTTATGTCTTTTTCTTTCTGTATAGCTTCTTTTACTTTGTTTTCTCTTTTCTCTTTAAAATCTTTTTCCTTTATATCTTTCTTATCCTCTTTTTCTTTTATCTCCCTCTTAAGTTCTCTTTTATTCTCTTTTTCTTTTGCTTCCCTCTTTTCTTCTGATTCCTTCTTTATAAAAACATCTGGCTCAGGTCTTTCTTCACTGTCTCTTTCTGTTTTAATTTTTTTATTTGGATGTTTCACAGAAGTGATCTCATCCTGAAAAGTGCAAGTATGGCCAATGTATTACTAACCAAATCTTGACAAAGACTAATTTCTTTTCTTTGCATGACTACGGAATGCATGTATGTGGATTCAGAAAGAAATAACCCAGAATCCCATTAATAATGATACATGCAATGTTCACCTTCCTATAAAAACTAAAGGAAGCCAGTCCCATTCAAAATTCAAAATAAAATTAATGGAAACAGAACCTCATTTAAATGGCAAATGTTTGAAAAGGAAGGACCTTTGCTCTATATTCCTCTTAGTGATATTCATTAGATGAGTAAAATTATGTTCCATACGTGAGACTATGTAATGAACTACAAAAAAGGAACTTCAAGTACCTAAAAGTAAAATTTCAGGTCTTAGTTCAAATTTTAAATGTCAAGTATACTAAAACATGCTATGTCCCTTTCTAATACAAAGTCTGTTTTTCTAAAACACATTCTTACCTTATCATCATCTTCATCGGATTTCTCTGAAGGCAGGGGCGAAGAATCACTCTTTATTTCTTCTTTCACTTTTATAGACTTCATTGCTTTATTCTTCTTAGCTCTTGCTTTTCTCCTCTTTGATCCTCCCTAAAAATAATTATTTTTATTCTAACCAACTCCACAGATTCAGTCAAAAAAAAATTTCTTAAATACTAAATCTAAAAAGCTAAAAGAACACATATTCCTACCCAATCCTTAGTCTAACAGTAGTAAGCTACATCAATCTTAGAAAGTCAACAAAAGTGATATAACTTAATGAATCAAGTACATATTATGAATAACAGATACTAACTATAACTATTCTTTTCAAAAAGGACTAGAGAAAAGTGGAGGTTGAAAGAAACAGAAGGAAGGTTTTTCACCTTCCTAAATTACTATTATCTGAACTAAATTTGATCCTATCAGAGATAGCATTAGAAATATTTTTATTGGTACACAGTTACTGACATTGTGGTTATAATGCAAATGGTTAAAGGCTGTTAGTTTCTAATCATCTCTTCTTCAGTGTATTTTTCCTACTTTTTTGGCCCCTCCCTAATAAATAAGCTCAGTGATCTTTATGCTGCACCTTCAGCTCTCCAACACCAAATAAAACAGTAATAAAGGCTTGACCCCTTAAAAAGTATACCACTCTAAACAAGGTGCCCCCAGTACCTATCCAAACACTAGAAAAAAAAAAAAAAATAGGATCCCACTTCTGAAAGATAGGACTTACCAGTTTTAACAGGAATGCAGAGATAACTTAAGGCAAAATATCAAAATATGCAATTAAAGTTACCAAATTACAGAAAAATACACTTATAAGGTCATATTAGCCTCAGATGTCTAGGGCTATCAGTAAACTAAATTTATCTTACTGAAAAGTAAATTGCTCTTTAAGCATCTAAATTTTAACTTACTGCACCAGAAAGTCTCTGAGCTTCTTTTTTTGCAAGATCTCTACTAAGTAATTTGATGAGGTAGTCTGCACGTGTCTGCAACTGCTTTGCTTGTGGTTTTTTATCAGGATCATCAGGAAGAATCTGAAAAGAAATTAATTTTTTCAGGTTGTCTTTAATAAATAATATGAGAAATTTATTGCCTATAAAAGGCTTACTCATTTAAAGAAATACATATAATTTACTGGCAAGTTACAATTGTTAAAATTTGTAGGAATAAACAACTAAGAATGCAAAATACATTTTTTTATACTACACCACAGCAAAGATTTCATTTGCCTGGGAATGAGTTCTAAATAAATACATGAAAAAAAAATCCTTCCATTCAAAATAATAATACAAAGTGTGAGGTTAAAAATTTCTTTCAAATATACAAGTGTATTTAGCATCCAGTGTTATTAAACATTACAGTATTTTTAGATTTCTTTCCTCTCTCAATAACAGTATATATAAAGTATATAAAAATTCCTTAGGTACAATGTATCAGCTATTTAGGTGACCCAAAGCATGCACTCTGAAGAAATTTTTACAGTAGGAATTTAAGCTATTCAAGTTTAGCTTCAGAGGTAGCAAATGACACAACACCAATATCAAAAGTGACTGTGAAGAAGTAAAATATAAAAAGATAACTTAAATGATAATAAGGCAATGTTTCCAGTGTTTTCCAGTCTAGGCAAAGAAATGATTTTAGCTGTGGTAGTATCAAATCACTAAAACCCCTAAACATTGTTTGATAATAAAAAAAAAAAATTTATTTTGCTCTTGAATAATATGACAGAATGAGAATTTTACTTTAAGCCTAGTAATATAAAGAAAAATACATCTATGCCTTAATAATAAAAATACAATTTCAGAGGTAAAGCAAAATTTCAGAGATCATTTAAATTCAACCCCTCATGAAAACCAAGAAGCCAAGGTCATACAGCTAGTTAGAGCCTTGGTTTCCTATCAATCAAGTTTATTTCTTTTTTTTTTTTTTAATCAAGTTTATTTCTAACATAATTTAAATTTTTTTTTTTTAAAAGATTTTATTTATTTATTTGAGAGAGAGAATGAGAGAGAGCGAGTACATGACAGGGGGAGAGTCAGAGGGAGAAGCAGACTCCCCGCCGAGCAGGGAGCCAGATGCGGGACTCAATCCCGGGACTCCAGGATCATGACCTGAGCTGAAGGCAGTCGCTCAACCAACTGAGCCACCCAGGCGCCCCTATTTCTAACATAATTTAAAAAGCAAAAATCGAATTCAACATCAGTAGTCAACAGAAACAAGAAATATTTAAGTACCTTGTGTGTTAAACTGAGGTCAGGATCCATTTTAATCATTTCCCAGCTTCCATATCCGTATTCATAGATACCAATTAACAAATTGGAATCATCTTCTTTGCCCCAGTCTATATCAAAATGAGCTGCCTTTGTGTGGCATGGGATAGTATACCTGTATCAAAGTTAATAACCATGGTCAAGTTTTTAACTGCCATATTAAAAATTAATTTTGAAGAATATATTTAAGTTATTGGAACTTCAAAATACTATGCCTTATTTTATTTTTAAAAACATTTCATTCAAACTAGCCAATGACATAAGACATTTTTATAACATACATACCCAAATTATTGAATAACAAGAAATAATTTACAATGAATAAAGTGAACAACTCACTGTTTTCTTTCTTCGGGATCTGACGGAATGGATTTGTGCAATGGTATTAATTCTTCTTCATGGGAGATGACAAGCTTGGCATTCACCTGTACACCTGATATTCGGAATGTTGGACCCTTCACTTTTCCAAGTCTACCACCTTAATTTTTTTTAAGACATAAAAAAATATGAAATACACAATTCTACAAAATACAAAGCAAGATATGCTATTATTTACATTAATAAGCATCACTTATTTAACTATATTTATAAGTATTGCTTCTTTCTATTATTGGGGGGTGGCACTTGCTGGCAAACCTTAAATTTCACTACAAGATTTTTCAGTACATACTATAGAAATTATAATATAGCAGATGTGGATTCAAAGAAAGCATTTCATTGAAAGCATTTCCATAATTGTTTTCTCAATTGCACAAGATACATCTATTAATACTGTCACCTTCTAAATAAGTGGCCTAGTATAATTTTTTTCAGTATACCTTATTACTAAATCTTAACTAAATATTTTCATTTAGGTAAATTACAAAATAAGCATAATGAAGTAACTATGCCCAAAGCCAATATCACATATGTACACTATCTTTTCCCAGCCATCTATACTAAAAATACAGTAACTTCTGATATTACCAACTAGCTCGAATATACCAGTTAGACATACACTATTGCTTTCAAGAATACAATTCTGTTACCCATTTCCTATTACCCAGGAATGGTCCTGCTTTGTTTTCTAAAGCGTCTTTTAAGAGTAATGAATAGGTGGCTATGATATAACAACCTCTTAACTCAGTAAAAGCATTATGTGAAACTTCCATTTACCTCTTTAAATCACTCTCACTTAAATATTACCTGTTCGTTCTGTTCCTGAAGAATTATCCTTTAAAGCTTTAATGCAACCATTATGCACCAATTCTCCTAGTCGTCTGAGGTCTGTCTCTGACTTATCAACTAATTCAGCATCCCGAGCAATTGCATCTAATCTGTTAATGAAATAATACAATTTTCAGGTAAATATGCAGAATAAAGTGGTGCCATTTAAGAGAGAGTAAGTTTCACCCTGCCTCAAGCTCTACAAGTCACTCTACATGCCCTACGAAGTCTAGTTCATATAACTGGCACAAGATACATAAAAAAGGAGTTCAAAAAATGTTTAAAAAATTTGGCAGGGAAACAATTCATTTATATATTCAAGAATAATAAAGTTAACCAATTAATTCATTATAGAAAAAAATGGTATGCTTCCAACTTGAAAATTATGTAATAATTCTACAAAAGCTTTTCATAACCAATCAAATCTTAAATTCTAAAGCATTGTAATATAGATGACCCTTGAATAACAGACTTGACCTGGACAGGTTGAGTTACATGTGGATTTTTTTTTTCGATAAATACAGTATAGTAACTCTAAATATTCAAAATAAAACAGAAAGTATCTTTAAGAGGGAGTTTTGGAGAGAAAAAATAGAACTGAGCCAATCTGAGTCTTTGCCACTGTATATTCAGACATTGGGCTTGCCACAACAAAGGACAAAGAATATTCAAATCACCAACACGTACTGAAATTAACCATTAACTTAAAACACACACACACACACACACACACAACTGTCCTGATATTCTGAATTTTAATAGTTCATATAAAAAGGAACCATAATTAGGGAAACTTAAGAAAATTTCCCTAGTAAGGGAAAACAGAACTGTTCTTTAAGTCAAAAGACTAAGCTAGCAACTCACCTTCTCTAAAGGATAAATCTGCTATTTATAAGTTTGGGATGAAAAAGATGGGATAAAGGCATGTGAAAAGTACAATTACAAAATGCTGAGTATTTTACAGACATATGTATTTTATAGAAACCTTCATTTGTAGATGAAATTTTCGAGCCTAGAAAGAATTAAGAATATGAGAACCTTTTTTTTTTTTTTTTTTAAGATTCTATTTATTTATTTGACAGAGAGAGAGATAGCTAGAGCAGGAACACAAGCAGGGGGAGTGGGAGAGGGAGAGGCAGGCTTCTTGCTGAGCAGGGAGCCCGATGTGGGACTCGATCCCAGGACCCCAGGATCATGACCTGAGCCGAAGGCAGACGCTTAACGACTGAGCCACCCAGGCGCCCGAATATGAGAACCTTTTAAAAAATCTGAAATTTGCTTTCTACGGACTAACGTTGTAAATGATTTTTAAAGCAAATTTAACAAAGTAGCTAAACCCAATAGTAGTGTGTATAAAGCTGACAGCATGTAAACACACATTCTGTAATTCTATGAGAATGACAAACGTATTTACCTTTCCAGAGGGCCACCAAATTTCTTGTAACTCTTGATAAACCTAACAGAAAATAATTGCTTGGTTAAAGTGTGGGTTTCACTATCCACTAAAAAACAGATTTATAAATACGTGGAAATAAGAAAACAGCTGTTAGTGCAAAAATTAATTCAAGGCACTGTTACCATACTAACACAAATGAATAAACTATGCTAAAGACAAAAATGTTAAAACATTAAGATATACCAAGCAAGACATATTTTAACACCCAGGATGATGTTTAGAAACCAATATAAATAAAACAATAGAAGCTAAATTTTATTTTAGAAATTACTTTATTATTTTCACAAGACAAGTTCAAGGCTCCCAGGAAGTGTGTCCAGAATTATCAATCATACTACACCTCCTCACATTCGAAGTATTGATAAAAGTTTACTGAATAATAGCTTTATTTCAGATGTATGGTATAATACCAACAATGGAAAATAAAAATTTTACTTAAGAACAAAGCTACCCAAGTGGTTGATGGATGAGGGAAAATATCCAGGAAAAGTAGAAGTTGAAATGTTCTTCAACTAAAGACAGAAAGTCCAGCAAATCAGGTGGTCATAAAAATACCCTTAATAAAATCTAACAATATATTTAGTTTTCTGGTAGAAAGAATGAGGAAGAACTTTATCGGTCAGGTCTATGATTAAAAGAAAAGAGTTACTACAATGGCTTGAAAGAAACAACAAACTCAAAATATAACAGTGAGCAAACCTTTTTACAAATTTCATAAGCAAAAATATTACATAAACAAAAGTAGGCTGTTATCCCAGTCCCCTTATATGAATGTATATAAAGAAACAAACATATTTTGAAAGAAAACTGTAATTTATCCTACGTGACTATCTTACCTCAATTCCTACTTGGACATATCAGAAATGCTTTTAACATTGTTACTTTCAAAAAGCAAATCTCCTCAGTGTTAAAAAAAAAAAAAAAAACTAGAAAAATTTGGAACTACAGTATTCCCACATAAAAATAGTAATGTTGGGAGTCATAAATGCAGGGAGAAATTTTAATAAATAAGTCTAATGTACTAAAATATACATTCATTTTTAAAAGGGCCACTATTCTGAACCACATTTTTAATAAAGCCAAAAAAATTTAGCAGTCTAAGTAGATTAACAATAAATAAATAACATGCAGAGATTAGATACCAAACTTTATTTTTCATAGCTATAAATGAAGACCCAAAAGCAGAACCATTCAATCCCTACACAATTATCATATATTTGCCTTCTCTAAAACTTTCATTTTAATCTTTGAAAATTATGGGATTTGTCTATTTTAATTTCACCTTCTAATAAAAGGAAGCTGAAGTAAAATAGCCTTATGTCATCTTACCGCCGAATTTCTGCATCACTAAATCCTTTGATATTCTCTCGAGGAATAGTCCGTGGTCTTCCACGTTTCTTTGGCCTTTTCCTTTCTGAGATCGAGTCACTATCAGATCCAGAGTATCTCCTACTTCTACTGCGCCTCCCTTCACTTCCATTAAAACTAATCTGGAATTGGAAAACAAAAATTTATCAAACTTTACACTAAAGAAGGCTTCTAACTATAAGAGCAAAGAAAACATTAAGAAAGAAGACTGAATTAACAAATTCAAATCTTGTCTGTATATCAAAAAATTTTCTATAAATAAGATTAAAAAGCAAACAAAACAGAGAAAAACATGGTAGGTTAATGACAAAGAGTTATTAAAGGCCCTAACATTTTTAAAAACATTCTTATATATCAGAAATAAAATACAATTTTTTTTTTTTTTAAGATTTATTTAGAGAGAGAGAGAGAAAATGCACACATGTGAGGAGGAGAGGGAGAGAGAGAGAAAGAGAATCTCCAGCAGATTCCCCGCTGAGCATGGGGCCCAATGCTGGATCTCACAACCCCTGAGATCATGACCTGAGCAGAAACCAAGAGTCACACGCTTAACCGACTGAGCCACCCAGGCGCCCCCAAAATTGTCCTTTTGTAAGAATGAGAAAAATTATTAACAAGCAATTAATCAAATACCATAAACATAGAATTAAACAACATCAAAGGTAAATTTTTTTAAATGAGAATTAAAGCAACAATATTTATTTATAACACTCATTATTTAACAGAAACATCAAAACATATTTTCTGTAAGTCTCTGGAAGTCACTGTGCATTTTCTGAACCCCTAATATGTTGAAAGCTAATTGAAAGTCAAAGACAGTATTCAGTTCTTACTCATTCTAACCTCCTCTCATCCTTTCAAAAGTAGTAATATAATGCTGTGCTTCCGTGTACTATAAAAGGAAATCATTATGGGATTGGCAGGAATAAACACTAACAAGAAACTACATACATGGTCACTTTCAGACCACACACATCACTTGGCTCCATTTCTGCCTATTGATAGGATGCCCCAATCCTAACAACAAATCTCATCTACAAAATCCTAACTTCTCTTACACATGTCAAAATCACAAGGCAATCTAATAGTCTAAAATATCAGAAAATACAGCAGACTCGTAAGAAAAGATGGAACCTGAATTCTGGCTCACCTGTGAAAAGCATGAGTTGTGGTCATCAAATAACATAAAAGCAGGCAAAAGGAAGGTAGCTAAAATTTACTAAAGGCTTTCTTTGGGTGACTATGAGAGTCCTGGAAACGAAAGGCATGGAGAACAGAACCTGCACCCCCTCTCAGATATTCCTCCGCAAAACTCCCAATAGGTGCTCATGAGTAAGACTGGGCAGGAGATCAGAAAAAACTTTCCTTCCAGATGATGGCCTGGAGAAAAGGAGCAGTTTTCTACTGCACTGAGGGCACCTCACCGAAGAAGACAGAAGACACAATACTGTTGCAGGAAAAGAAAAAACACTCTACCCCTGAGGGAAGGATAGCAAGAAGGATGACTAAGCAATTTCCTCATTTGCCTCAGACTCAAAATTTAAGGAGGCACCAAAAAAGCTCAGAAATATAATGTAATATTCTAAAAAACAGAAGTTAATTCAAACAAAAAATCTAGTATTAAAGTTTCTTTCCTTTTGTTGCAGTATCTGATGTAGCCTGGCATGGCCCTGTTACCATTATTTAAAAATCTCCTATTTTCTTCATTTGGGTCATAAAATAAACAGCAATAAATTTTTAAAAATTCCTATCCCACAAGGTATGCTGATGATGACAGAATTAAAATAGAAATCAACTAACAAAAATAATCATAGTATCTCCCAAATACTTGGAAATTAAACACACTTCATAACAACAAAAAAGAACAAAAACAAACCAACAAAAAAATACCTACAGGTCAAAGAGTATGTCCATAAGGCAAATTAGAAAATACTCTGAAATGAATGAAAATGAAAACACAACAGGTATCAAAATTTACAAGATTCAAAAAAGGCAGTGCTTAGAGGGAAACTTGTAGCATTAAGCGCTAATAATATTATAAAAAGAAGGTCTTGATTAAATTGTCTTAAGAATACATCTTAAGACACTTAAAAAAAAGTAGAGCAAATTAAAGCAAAGCCAAAGAGTAATAAAGAGCAGAAATCAATGAATCTGAAACAGAAAAATAAATGAAACCAGGGATGATTTTGGGGGGATTTTATGAATAACTTTATGCCCATAAATACAACAACTTAGATAAAATGGACAAATTCCTTGAAAGAAACAAACTACCAAACTCACTCAAGAAAGAAATATTCTGAATAGTTCTATATTTATAAAAGAAATTAGTGTTTCTAACAAAGAAAACTCCAAGCCTAGATGGTTTCCCTGACAAATAGTGCCAAACATTTAATGAAGAATACCAATTCTATACAAACTCTTCATAAAAGCAGAGGAGGGGTGAACACTTTCCAACTTATTTTATGAGGCAAGAATTATTAAATCAGTTAAAAACACTAAAAAAGAAAACAATGGACCAGTATACTTTATAAACAAAACCAGATAGTCCAGGTATGAATACCCTTACAACAATAACCTTTTAAATTAAAAAGTCACCTGTTTTGCACAGTTTCTCATTCTTGGGAGCATATAAATTTCTTCAAGTTCCTTTTGTCTTTCTTCCTCTTCTAATCGTCTTCTTTGATCTTCTGGAATTATTTCTTCCCAATTCTTTGAATTTCTTTCTGGTTCCAACTCAATGTCATCCTCATCCATATTTGAAAAGTTGGCAACCTTAAATTCAAGAATTTTAACAGAATAAGCATTAAAGAAAAACTCATCCTTAAATTACATTTTGCATTTTAGGGGAGAGGACGTGACATACCAGAATACGGCAATAAAACTTAAATATCCTCAGGATAATGAATAGGACTATGGATTAAACCAAAAATGACTGCTAAACTATCTAAGTTCTTTATTAGTTCTTTATTATTTATTATTTTTTATTAGGTCAAAGTAGAATAAACCAAAAAACTTCTAAGAATGATTCTCTTTTGTCCTGCTGCTCAACAAAATTAGTTGACAGACCAACAAAATAATTTATACTAACATGCTAAATCATCTTCCGCTGAAAATACCACACCAGTCCGTTAACTACAAAGTGCTGTAGAATAAACCAGTATTCTTATTTTTATAATCATAAAAAGTAACACAAAAGCGGGCGCCTGGGTGGCTCAGTTGGTTAAGTGACTGCCTTCAGCTCAGGTCATGATCCTGGAGTCCCGGGATCGAGTCCCGCATCGGGCTCCCTGCTCGGCAGGGAGTCTGCTTCTCCCTCTGACCCTCCTCCCTCTCATGCTCTCTGTCTCTCATTCTCTCTCTGTCAAATAAATAAATAAAATCTTAAAAAAAAAAAAAAAGTAACACAAAAGCTACTGACAAGACACAAAGAACTCTGGGTCCATAGATAACCTGAGGTTCCTAGTTTCTTCATCTTAAAAAAAAGGGATAGACTGAGCTCACTAAATTTTGTGAAGATTAAATAAGATAATACATTTAAGGAACTATGAAGACTCTGGTACATGGAAGGGATTCGTTAAACCTAACTGCCAATAGTGGCACATTAAAACTTAGAGAAAGTGGGTGAAAAAAACCTGTGCTTATCCTGTGTTAAGAAATGACACTGCAAATAGTGTTCATTCTCTGTCTTTATTTATTTTAAAGATTTATTTATTTGAGAGAGAGAGAATGCACACGTGCATGCATGGAGGGGGCAGAGGGAAAGAATCTTTAAGCAGACTCCCCGCTCAGTGTGGAGGCCTACATGGGGCTCGATCCCAGGACCCATGAAATCATGACCTAAATGGAAACCAAGATCAGATGCTTAACTGACTGAGCCACCCAGACACCCTGTGTCTATTATTTAACTGTGATGAAAGCCCAAAGCTAGCAGTTTAGGAGAATTAACTCACCGTTATAAAAGTAATCTGTATTTACTTTACTTAGCTTATCAGTGACATTTTTTCAAACTGCCAATTAGTCAAATTAAAAGCAAATAGTGTAACCATGTAGAGTTAATCAGACAATACCCAGATTACGTACAGGTTCCAGAAACCTTAGCTTCTCCTCAAGATTAAAGAAATAGTCCTCTAACTTATCTCCCTGCTTTTAATTCTGGCTCCATTACAGTATATCCTCCACATTGCAGCCAGAGTGATTCATTAAAATTACAAACATTTTTATTCGCTGTTGTGTCCCTGTGCATGGCACACTACAGGTGCTCAATAAATATTTGTTGAATGAACAAATGACACAAACTGAACTGCTCTCCTTAAAACCCTCAGTTCATGAAAATGGCTATAGAGGAACCTGCTTCTTTACACTAAACAACTGGCATACAACTTACTCTGTGAGGCTGGCTGACTTACATTGCTTTAGGACTCCTTGCAACCTTTTACCCCTCACCAAACCAGGGGTATTTACAGGTCCTAAAAGGAGCTCATTGCTTACATGGACTGAATAACTTGAGTTTTCTTAGGTGTGATAATGCTTAACTTAATGTCAGAAACTGCTCCAACATATAGAAGGCTAAAGCCTTTTGTCATAGAAATCTCCATTAGAGATCATGTTCACTCATTTACCCAAATATTTGAGGATGTGCTAAGCACTTTAGATGCTAATTAGAATAACAGCCCTCCTCATTCCACTGTATGTACCTATTCATAAATGATTTGGTCCTTTTCAAAACAAGTTGTTACTGGTTTGTCAGAATAAGAGAGAAAAACTTTCATACACCATAGCAAATTTTAAGCCAAAAATACTGAGAAATTATCATGTTGATTGTGCTTAAAGAGATTAATAAAATGCAAAATGACAAAAAATAATTTTTTTGTCAATTTAGATAATTTGAAAGAAAAATTAAAAAGAAAAATCTACCTTGAACTGGGAAAGCAATTCATCTCCTACAGTTAAAGGGCCTGGTTCGTTTTCATGAGTTTCAGCCCTCTTCAAGATCTCATCTATATCCATTTCCTATAATTAGAAAGAAATCTTTAAGTATAGTTTAACATATTTTGAAGTAGATACACCTTATACTTACAAATTTAAAGAAATGGCACATTTTGAGGCAAGTTTTTTTTGTTTTTTTTTTTTTTTTTTACCTGGGGCTCTTGTTCTTCTCCTTCAGGTTCCTTAAAAAGCTCCTCAGCGCCAAACTTTAAAATGGCTGATAATTCTTCTTTATTGAAAGGAGTAGAACTAAATCAAGAAAAACAAATAAAAATGCTTAATACTAACAGTTAACAATATTTACACTGCACTTTTATTCATTATTGACACAGTCAACTTTATATAATTTATATGACAGAGTTAGACATGTTAAGTATTATAAGTGTACTTATTTTAAAAGTTAAGAACTTGAAACCTAGAAGTTAAAGGAATTTCTCCCAAGATTTATAAAACTTGAGTGGTAAAATCAGTACTAAATGTATGCTTTTGACTAAAAATTAATCCAGTGCTTTAAAAAATTACAATACTAAATATGGTACCTCAAAGATCTGCTTATAGCATGTAAGATTTCAGGAAAATGACTGCAGAATGATTCTAAATGACTTTTTTTTTTAAATATTAAAGTAACTACCAGGGCGCCTGGATGGCTCAGTTGGTTAAGCATCTGCCTTTGGCTGAGGTCATGATCTCAGGGTTCTGGGATAGAACCCCGTGTCATCGGGCTCTCTGCTCAGAGGGAAGTCTGCTTCTTTCTCTCCCTCTGTTCTTCTCTCCCTGCCCCCGGCTCATGTTCTCTCTCTCACATGAAAAAATCTTAAAAAAAAAAAAAAAGTAACTACCTTGAGGGGGCAGAACCTGTATGTAGTACTGTCTTCCCAGTTGTGTCCATTCTCTGAATCACAAGGTGATCCAAAACCATCTTCTTTTTCGCCCTTTCAAGTATATCCTCTTCAACTGATCCCTTTGTAACTAGACGATAAATATTCACCTGTAAAGATATGCATAATGAAACATAAAATGTAGTAAAAAGGATTCATTTTGCTCATCTGAAATACCCAAAGGTCGGCAGTTCTATATCAAACAGTACCACCATATAGGGATATTTTGAAAATTTATGGGAACATTTTTATAGTTTTTGAAATCATTAGGTGGGTTTACCAATACTTAAGAGCAAAGGGACCTGGGATACCAGACATTCTGCATTAAACTGGACATTCAGGTACAAAGAAAAAGTATCCTCAGTCTTTCAAGTCTTACAAATGATTTTTAAAAACCTTTTTAAATTATTTTGAGTCTAAATTTGAACTCCATTTTAAGGTAAACATGAAGAGTTTTAATGAAGTTATAAAACATATACTAGTTTTTTCAGCATTGTAACTATTGCATAAATCAGTAGATAATTGGATACCCTTTTATTTAAATCTCTGTCAAAGTTATTTCCAAATGTGTATAGTATTAGTGTCACCAATAAAACTCATCTGTACTACTCATCTATACTCATTTTGTAGTTGTTGCTCGTAAATATTTAATAAGGGATATGAAATACCTTGTGTCAGATTTAGAACCAAATACTAGTAAAGCCACAGGTACGTGCATGATTTCACACATATGTGGAATGCTAAACAAATGATCATAGGGGAAAAAGAGAAGCAAACCAAGAAACAGACTCCTAACAACAGAGAACAAATTGATGGTTACCCTGGGGAAGGGGGGGTGGTTAAAAAGGTGATGAGGATTAAGGAGGACACCTATTGTGATGAGTACCAAGTGTTGTATGGAAGGGTTGAAGCACTATAATGTACACCTGGAACTAATATTACACTGTATGTTAACTAGAATTTAAATAAAAACTTAAAAAACAAAAAACAGCCAAGTACATGAGGCATAGGAATCTTAATACACCAATAATGAAATAATAAAGAATATATCTCAATAATCATTAATAAAAATATGTATTCATATTTATATATTTTAAATGTATTAAATGATAATGTATTAAATAACTTTTATTTTAAAATATAGTCATATTTATGTCACATTTATTTTTTAAGTTTTGTAACAAAATAGTAAGAAATCTGTTACCATTATTTTACAATCTTACTCAAATATTCTTCCTAGAGGTCTACCATGCAACTTTCTATAGTATTTTATCTAACTGGTTCTTCTAATGTATCCTCTACTTTCTATCACCTATTAGAAAATGGGGTGGCCTTTAAGAAGTATTTAAGTAGTATAAATGGAACATGAGCCCAGCCATGTATTGAGGATTTCAATATAGGAGGGTTTAGTGCAATTAACCACTACTCCCTATCTCATTCATAAAACAGGGCTATTTTGACTATTCACATATACATTAAGCCCAGCTCACCTGTGAGATTATCTTATTTCCTCACCCTCTCCTCTCTGACAGTCTATAATTTATCTTGGCATGTTATTGTTATTATCCCTACTTCAAGTTTGCTTCTCTTTATTATGTGTAAGTCAGTGTTGTTATCTAATTTTAATGCTAATTTCTATTGTCTTATGCACCAATATACCCGATCTTTCCTTCCTTTGTACTTTCTATGGAGAATGAGTCCTGCTCTAATTTTCCCAACTTTAAATTTGTTCTTTATATTCCAGTGTAGTCCTATATATTAAAATACCTATTTTTTAAAAAGAGTTTGTTTTTTTACCTAAATTGCTATTAGGGCATTCAAATTATTTTCAAATTCATGTATTCAATTCAAGGAAAAGGGGGTGCTAAAAAAAGCTGTTGTAAAAAGGGGTCTCTGGGTCTGATGATGTTAAGAACCACTACTGTAAATACAAGCTATCACACTTAGGGGTATGCAATGTTCTTCCAGAGTATAAAAATTACAGAAAGAAGCATAATGTATTTCTGATGAGAGTTTTATGAGAATTATTTGGGCAAAATATTTTTTTTCAATTAAAATTATGGACATATTTTTCAGTAGAAAACATGATTCTTAAAAAGGTAATATAAACGTGATCTTTCTGTGCTATTTGTTCGTATCTCTTGCTTTGGAGAAGTTTGATAAGCACTACTCTAGATGGAGGTAAATGAATTAAAATACAAGGACCAAGGCATCAGAATGATGACATACAGTTTTTCTCAAGGCCTATTACAACGGTGTCAGATAGCTGTACAAAAACTATAAAATCAGAATGGCTTTTTTGCATAAAGAACCTTACAGGCAAATGGATTAATAAGATACAGGTTAACAAAAAGGTAGCAATATCCTAAGCAAAATCATAGTTAAGATAATAAAGACATTTTAATGCTTATGTTTTGAATGAAAAACATTGGTACTCTACAGCTGTAAACAGAATGTATGATTAAAAGAGAATGCATAATCCTATTATGGCAGGCCTTGCAGCTGTTAGGTCTCTGAAATCCAGGTCTGACAGCTGTGTGTGTATGCGATGCGCGGTCCCTGCCGTGCCAGCCCCAGAGTGCCACCCAGGTGCCCTCCATCCACTCCCCAACCCCTCCCCGCTCGGATATTCAATTCTGCCAAACCTTCCAGGTGATTTTGGTAAATCTGAGTTCCTGAGTACTTTACCTGTTAAAGAGCAACATGACTGTGTTCCAATGATCTGACCCAGAAGATAAACCAAAATCACTTCCAAACACCGATGATCATAAAAAAGGAATCTAAAAGTAAAATAAAAGAAAAAAAAAAATACCTGTTTCTTCTGCCCAATTCGATGAGCTCTAGCCTGTGCCTGAAGATCATTTTGTGGATTCCAATCAGAATCAAATATAACAACAGTGTCAGCAGAGGCTAAATTAATTCCCAGGCCTCCAGCTCTCGTGGAAAGCAAAAAGCAGAAATCCTGTAAGGAATTATAAATAGGCTCAATTTTAAATTCGTCTTAACTGTGACTGTGAATAATTAGAGAATTTTACAACTGATTTTTTGAATTTAAAAGTATTTTACCAATAAAAGTAAAGGGCAGTTTTAAAAATTAAAATACAAAAACCTCTAGCAAAACCAATCAACAAAACTCCTAAATACAAATATACATGGGAATAATGTATATCAAATTTAAAAATTTGTAAATGAAAGTGGGCTAATTTATTTTGAATCAAATTAACTCTCCTATGCTGAAATAGTATTGATTAAGAAAGGGTAAAATTCTTCAGATTTAACATAGAATATTGATTTTAAAACCTCACTTACAAAGAAAAACTGGGTAACAAACAATAAGATTTTAAAAAAAAAAGCACATTCAACTAAAATGATTAATTTACAATTTTAAAAGCATTCATACCTCTGATCCTTCAGCATTAAAATGATCTAGAGCTTGTTTTCTCAGTTCCCCTTTTATTGATCCATCTAATCTCTAGAATAAAACACATTAAAATACTGCATATAACAGATTCAAATATTTAAAAAAGATATTAAATCAACAATGAAATTAAGTATGAAAAGGCAGTATTGCTTTTGCTAAGGCCGTAAGAGTATAAGGCACTTAAGAGGCAAAAAGACAATACCCAGGCATTCTGTCTCTCAAGTCTGTGTTCTTAACCACTAAAACTATTTCCCCAGATAGTAACAGTAAGTAATGACAATGGCTATCATTCTGCCTGAGTCTCACTGTAAGAAATACATTTTACACATGAATGTGTACACAGCTGTATACCCGAAGCAAGTTACATGACACAATGTACCATGATATACTCTCATATATTAAATCTATTTCATTTTTTCAAAATGTTGGTACAACTCATTGAAATGATTCCCAGATCCATTAATAGGTTACAGACCACAATTTTATAAATGCTGATTAAGTCCAGTATGGTTACTGGACCAACAGCCATCAGTGTCACCTGAGAACTTAGAAATGCAAATTTTTGAGCCCCATCCCAGATCTACTGAATCAGAAACTCTGAGAAAGGGGTCCAGGGGCTCAGCTGGTTTAGTGTCTGCCTTTGGCTCAGGTCATGATCTCAGGGTACTGGGATTAAGCCCCATGTCGGGCCCCCACTCAAGTGGGGAGTCTGCTTCTCTCTCTCCCTCTGTCCCTCCTCCCTGCTCATGTTTGCTCTCTCTCTCTCAAATAAATAAAATCTTTAAAACAAAATTTAAAGAAAGAGAGAGAGAATGAAAGGGGTCCAGCAAAAGCCCTTAAGTTTGAAAGTCACTGATTTGGGGAACCATGGGTTCTAGTCAAATAGCCTGCATTTGAGTGTCTTCAGTATTCATGAGTGCCTGGGCAAGTGATCTTGACTTTTCACCTTGTTTGTTTCTTTCTCAGGGAATGAACATAATAGTAGTACTTCCTTCACAAAATTCAGAGCACTCCGTGAGAGAACACAGTAAAACACTTAGCTCAGTGTTGGATATATACGGAGTCCTCACTAAATATTAGCTGATGTCCAAAATAAAAAAAAAAGAAACTTAAATAGTCCTATTTGTTTCTTTTTCATTAACAATTACAATTAGTAAAGACTTTTAAAAACAGTGGGTATACCATTTATTGAAGTATGACCTAAATCAGAAGAGTGGTAAAAATAATTTTCTCTGGGAATTAATCTGGGAATGAGAAGGGATTAGAGGCACAGAATTGCTAATAAGCACTTCTTTACTATTTGTTTGACCATGTACATGTAATAGTTTGTCTAAAAACAACCAACAGAGGGTTAGGGTGGGGACAGAGGGGTGATATGGAGAAACACGGTGATAGCTAAAGGGTACAGTTTCTTTTTGAGGGGATGAAAACATTCTAAGATTGTGTTGATGGCTGCCCAACTCTGTGCATATATTAAAAAATCACTTAATTGTACACTTTAAATGGATGAATTGCATGGGAAAGAAATTACATCTGAATATAGTTGTTAAGAAAATCAAATGATACTTTTTCCACACTTTTCCCCTCGAGTGAATGACTATATATTTCTCAATCATGTTCATATCACCAAAAACCTGTCCTTCAAAGCAGACATTACCAGAGTTGTAATGTTATTTTTATTTGTAATTACCTGCTTAATGTCTATCTTCCACATTATGATGTAAACTCCAACAGAGCAGGGATTATGTCTGTTGAGATTCATCTTTATAATTATGCTTCTATTTTATATCCTGCACTAAATATATATCATTTACTAGTTATATGAGTGTTCACTAGGTTCTAGGCACTGTTCATAAAAGGATTAAATAAGGATTAAATTATTAGAAAATACTGAGACTAGCACCTGTCTCTTAACATTAAACACTCATTCATATTAGCTTTAATTACCCTGAATGGATTTCAAAATAAATACTGAATACATGGAATATAAGACCATTTTGGTCTTTAGTACCGTCCTTGGAGTCATCTATCGTTTTATACAGCAAGCTATGTATTAGAATAACTGTGAGAACATGATTCTTCAGAATGTGTAACAGTCCTGGTAACATTCACAAGGACTGCTCTCTCTTTCCCTTCCTCAAACTAAAGCCTAATACATAAAGCTGCCCATTTAGATTTGAGCACAGAAGAGAAGTACAGAATTAAAATAAAAATTAGAGAAAAGAAAAATTGCTTTGCTGCTAAATATAAGGTGAAGAAGAAAAAAAAGGAATAATGATAAACAGAATTTTTAAATTTTTATAAATTTTTAAAAGATACATTATCTTAAAAGTACAGTTCATATAAAAATCTATACAGAAGAATTTCAAAGGTAATTTTGTGGAACACGCTCAAGAATCAGATGAAATTTAAGTCAACAAAAAAGAAAAAATGAAATGCTTACTTGAAAGGGGAATTGACGGTATTTCAAATATTCTGCAAGTATATCTAACATCCGCACCATTTGAGAAAAAATAAGAACTCTATTGCCTCGTTCTCTTAGGCGAATTAACAGTTTGTCAAGAAGAATCAATTTTCCGCTACTACGGATTAAGTGCTAGGAAACAATAAATTACAACTGTTACAGCATGTGAAAAGAATCAAATGAAACAAATACTCCACTTAATACTTCATCTTCTTTAATTTATATTTAAAATCAAAATGTTATGTTTTTATAATGTTGGAAAACAGTTTCAGTTTTCAAAATTTTCTAGGACTTTCTAGGATCACTTTAATCTATGCCAGCTAAGATTTTCCTTGCCATTTAGCACCTAGGTTTTTGTCATGTTTTGGAGTAAGGGGATGGGGGAGCAGTTTCACTTTATTTGCTAGTTACTACACTACTTCTCCAAAAATCTTTGAAAAATAATATACTAAAAGAAGCAGCAACTAAAGGTTTTAAAACAGTAAGAAAACCTATTTTAATTTATACATATCAGTCACTGAACCTAGCACTTTAAAGCACTACTGTGACTGGATGGCAGTTGTGCCTTCTTCATACTTTCCATTTGTCTTCCAGAAGTGATAGGAATGGTAAAACCTGAGGTCAAGATGTCTTTCTCAAGCCTACCATTTGCCATATCACAAATTCAGCACATTCACTGATGTGAATTTTTGTCAATTAAGAATATACTAAGGGATTTCTGCTGGATAAATCTTGGTAGTCCATACAAATCCATTTTTAGAAAAATGATCAAAATAATTGGATAAATTATAATTTTGAAGCCTTTTTTAAAGACTAAAAAAAACCCATTATTTAATTATACCATAACCAAAGAGAAATTCTAACCAATTATTAAAGCCTCGTGGCATTTTTAGTTATAACTGCAATAAGCATTCCCAGAATTTTGTTTTACTATAAAGTAACAATATTTTAAAATCCTTACTTGTAAGGCCTCCTGTTTATTATAGAATTCATTATTATCTGGTGGTTTAATGAGGTAGCAATGGTTACAACATTTCTTTAGCTCCATCATAATGTTCAAAAAGCCTGAGGTACTGCCCTTGGAACCTTTGCTGAGGGCTTTGTAATTCCTAGTTAATATCCATCTGTTTAAAGAAAAAAAAAATAACATAAAAATGAGCTTTAGCAGAACACTTACCAGGATGAATTCTAAAATCATGAAAAAACAATCAAGCACCAAAGCAAAATTGCACCATTATGAAGTTTACAACTGGATAATACAATGGACCAAACCTCATTCACAAGACTAATGAACTTCATTCATAAAATTAATGAGAACACAACACATAACTTGTTATCTGTGCTATATACAGTAAACGCTTAATGTAACATAGTGAGTGTAGTGTATTAATCATTTTTACCCCAAAGTTACTTCAAAAATGGGTCAGCTATCATCTATATTAACCTTCCTACAAATTTTACTACATTAGGCAACCAAAACATAGACCTGTAAGAAACCTCATGAGCATACCTGGTTTACCCACACTGCCTTCTCTAAATTACAATTAAACAATACATATGCAACTTGTAGAAAAATTACAGGTGGTTATTTTATCACTCCAAACTATTTATGTAACTATGTAACATTTCCTCTCACCACAATATACTTTGTCTTCTACCATCTTTTATTTTCTTCTTTTTTATAAGGTTAATCTTGGAAGGGACTTGAAACAATTTTATCTCTGATTTGCCTCAAAATGATAGGAGGTGGGGCAAGTGGGAATGGCTAGAGATAAAATAAGACTGGCTATGAGTTGAAAACAAAGCCAAGTGTTGGAAATTTATTATGTCATCCTCTTTTTGTATATGTTTGAAATTTTCCACAATACAAACCTAAAATTCATGCAATAAATGTATTTTCTTTTAATGTATGCCACTTTACAGATGTTACCATAAAATAAGTTTCTGAGAATCTAAATGCATGTAGCAGTGCATTTTATGCAATTAAATGTTTAAATAACTATTAGGACAAATATTACCTTTTGATTCTTTGAAGTAGTACTGTATAGATCTTACATATAAATTTAAAGTATGATTAATATTCTTCAACAGGGGGCCTAAAATTTTAAGTTTCTTTTTCTGGCCTCTACCTCTGTCAATTATATAATTATCATAACTACAAAATAATGCCTTAGTATCACTAACACTTTAGTATTAACACTTAACAGAACTCTCTATATGGTAACAGAGCATATAATAGACAAACACAATTAAGTCTTAGGTCACCCATGATCTTGAACATGCCATTCAATATCTCTTCGCTTCAAGAGCCCATAGAATAAGCCTATTCTAAAATTCAAGAATTGTTATTGCTCTAAAAACCTATTGTGGGGTGGGGGGACGCCTCGATGAGACAACGTTACAGAGGGTTATTTAGAATTAAACATCCAGAACATGTGGTCTGTTTACAGCTTACTTGTAATACTGTTTCTGTAAAGCACTCATTTCCATTCTTAAAATCTGTTCAACCTTGGCAGGAAGAGATTTTTCCACATCTTTTTTAACTCTGCGTAACAGAAACGGCTCAAGCTCCTTGTGGAGGCTTGCATAACCATATTCTCTGCCTTTTCCATGTTCTTCTTCAAAATCTTCCCAGGAAGAAAACCTTAGAAGTTTAAGAAAATGGAAGAACCACTGAAAAAAGTCATATTGCATATGAGTTTTTTGAGAGTAGTCATATATAAACAAAATATAGACTTTCAGGAAAAAAGATCTGCTAATATTAGTCACTTCTAAGAACTATCCTTCCCAAGAAATGTCCTATATATATATAAAGGTGAAACATAAGTTGTTTTACAAAAATTATGATTCTCTTTGAGCTAAAGATGTTAAATAAAATTAAAGTATTTTCAAATACAGAATTATCACTAAAATATTTCTCAAAGAATTTTAAAATTCTGAATCTATTGAAAAAAAAAATGTTTGTCATCTTGAACAAGTTATATGACCCTTATCTAGTCTAGTTTCCCTCAAAAGGGATTACCAGGACCTTATTATTATAGTTATTGCTACTATTAAATACTAAGAAGGATACTGTTTCAGTTTTTCAAATGAATATTATTTTGAACAAGGGCAAAATCAACTGTTTAATTTATTACACATGACTCAAACTTCTTTACAAAACTGAAAAATTAAAATATTAGAAATACGAAATGTTGCATCCCATTTCCTTTTTTTATTTTCCTTCTTAAAAATCTGTGGTCTAATGTTCTAGGACAATAAAACTTCTACGGACCTTACTACCTACACTAATTATTTTCCTGCTAAGCTTAACATATGAAACTAATATTAAAACTGTATATCCCAATTTATCTTACTTTTCTGGCATAATGAAATGTAGCAAAGACCAGAGCTCTTTGAGGGAGTTTTGTAGAGGAGTTCCAGTAATAAGGAGACGGTGATTGGACTTAAAGTCTATTAAAGTTTTATACAGGAGAGAGTCATCATTCTTTAATCGATGTGCTTCATCTACACCTATAAACGCCCAATTCAGACCTCCAAGGAATGCCTTAAAATGAACAGAGAAACACAGTTAATATTTTAAGAGAAAAATTAAATTCAAATTAATAAACCGAGGCAAAGTAAAATTAAAAGCAAACTTGTCTTTTTTTTTTTTTTTAAAGATTTTATTTATTTATTTGACAGAGAGAGACACAGTGAGAGCAGGATCACAAGCAGGGGGAGAGGGAGAAAAAGGCTTCCCGCGGAGCAGGGAGCCCGATGCGGGGCTCAATCCCAGGACCCTGGGATCATGACCTGAGCCGAAGGCAGACGCTTAACGACTGAGCCACCCAGGCGCCCCAGCAAACTTGTCTTTTTTCAAATAAAAATTATATATTATTTCAAGATTTATTGAAATCCTCAAATAAAGTAACTCAACATGCAAAACAAAGTTCCTTGCATGACTAATTCACCCAATGGAAAACAGAGAAAAGCAAATGAAAGTTTTTACTAGCTTACACATTCAAAAAAAGGAAAAAGAAATACAACAGTATCATTAAAATAGTATTTAAAATTTTTCACAGATTTTTAGCTTAAGGCCAGCAGAAGCCTCTATTAATGTCAATTTAGAGAAAATATGATATAAATTTGGAAGCGTCTTATTCCAAGTGTAGAAATAATTCACCGTATGATTTTTATGAACTGTGGATCTCTAATATATAAATGTGGGTCTCTGACTTAAAACAGAGACAGGCCTCATTCTGCTATTTAATGGTTGTATGACCTAGGAGACAAGAACATTAACCTCTTTTGACACTGGATTTTTCTTTCCAATAAAGCAGAAATAGCAATATCTTATAAAATAGATGGGAATTACTTGAGATATGAACTATAAAGAACTAAATAAACAACATCTATAAAGCATTTAGCTTAGTGCTTCACCCAGGGGTAGCTTAATTCTTTTAGGTATTTTCCTCCTCTTTGAAGATCTTACAAATCAACACACTATACCAAACTAGTTTTATATAAGTCAATAGTTGGCAAACTTTTCCTGTAAAGACCCAGATGGTAAATATTTTAGCTTCTTGCAGACAAATGTGTGATGGTCTGTCACATATTCTTTGTTTTTACACCATCTAAAAATGTAAAGACCATTCTTAGTTCAAAAGTCATAAAAAACAAGCCAGATTTGACCCACAGGATGTAGTTTGCTGATCCATAATTTATCTTCTCACCCTATCCACAATATATGGTAAAGGAAAAATGGATATACACCAAACAGAAAAGCATAGGTAATACACACCTTATCCTTCAATAAAATTTCGTAAGTTGTTAAAAGTATATTAAATTTTAACCGTTTGGTCTGGGGATGCATCCATTCATGAGTTCTTATCTATCAAGAAATTTTAAAAATAATTTTAAGACAATCATTAAGAAAAATATACTTTTATTTGAATATCTAAAAAAAAATCCCTCCCAAATACACAAAAAATCTATGTTTATATAATAAAATCATTTTAATTCTTAACACAGTCCAACAAGCTACACTCATCTTACTTATAAATAAAATATAAATACCACAGCATACCAAAACCTATAAAAATAAAGCAGACACATTTTTAAATACACACTTTCTACTGAAGGAAGTTCATATTTAACAAAACATAAGTGATTAATTCATTTAATAACATAGCATTTATGGATGAAATATGATGTCTGGGTCTGCTTCACAATATTTGGGAGGAAAGCACTCTGTAGAGGTACAGATGAAACAAAACCGGCAAAGCATTAGAACTGTGAAGCTGGAGATGGGCACACAGAGGTTTATTATAGTCTTCTGTTTTCATGTATATTTCAAATTCTCCATAAGAACTTAAAAAAATATATATTACATAAAGTAACACTCAGATGAAAACTGCCTTTTATTACAGCCAATTAAATATGTATTGAGTACTTTGTGACAAGTTTTACACTAGAAACTAAGACTATAAAGACAAGTATGTCTAGATTTTTAAATGTATGGAGAAACAACTTACCATATTTCTGCTGTTAATGTCACCTAAATAAACCACAGCATTCATTTGAGAAGCCCATGTCTGAATTTCCCTTTGCCAGGAAGTAAGAGTGGAAAGTGGTACTACTAACAGAAAAGGTCCATATAATTGATGTTCATGAAATAAATAGTTCAGAAATGAGATCGTCTGTATTGTTTTTCCAAGGCCCATTTCATCAGCAAGTATGCAACTATTTCCTCTACAAAATTAAAGACAACAATTATGTATGCAATAGATTCAAATTTATAAAGAAACCTTTTTACATAACCCATATACAAATTTAAAGTTAAAATTAATCTGAAAGGTATACAAACAATATACCACTTTTATTAGCTATAAATAATAAATGTAAAGGCCTCTGTAATAGTATAAAAAAAGTGGACGAAGTTCATCATTTTAGTCCAAAGGAAGCTTAAAGAGTAACAGTAATATGAAGTAGTGCAGCAATTAAGGTTAAACTCAAACTCCCCTGGATTTTCTTCTTAGTATGTAATAAATATTACTATATACTAAGGAAATTCAAAAGCCTGCATATAAATACCAGTCTTCATCCTTGATATTGGTGGAAATCTTTTCCAAATCCTGTATTTGTAAAATTCGTATGCCCTCAAATTAAACAGACAATTCAAAATATACTCACTTGCACCAAGAGTGAGCAAGCCAATTTAAACCATTCAGTTGATAATCTCTTAATTCTAAACTCTCATGTCCTCCAATATAGGATGGCTGCTTCTTTAGGGCTACAAATCTTGGCCTTTGTTTTAATACCTTTAGTAGAAATAAATGTAATAAGAAGAACTATCAAATGTGAGAATCTTAAAAGATCAAAATCTCAGATTTTACCATAAATTTTGAAATTTTATCTCAAATTTTCAAGCTCAGAAATTCCATGACTCAAAATATATCTCAGGATTCATTCAAAGAAGACTGTTTTCTCTTACTGTAACAACATTGTACAGTGAAATATTTTGCCCTCTTTTTTGGACAAAAAATGATAGAAATAAGTAAGGTCCTGCTGAAATACTTGAGTCTTACACAGTTCAGAAGCAAGAGCTATGTTAAATTCATTCATTTAACTGCTAGTGCAGCCCTGACCTAGAAATAAACCATACAACTGGCTTAACTTTCTGATTTCTAAATTACCATTATCAGTTTAATTCAGTCTTATAGTAAGAAAACAAATTCTAATAGTACATAGACCCTCAAAACTACTGCTGATAATGTCTCTAAGTAAAAAGATCTTATATTAGGCAAGGTAGTCCTAAGTACCACTTCTTTTCTTATGGGTACATCCCTCTTTTCTTTCCTACCTTCAAAGAAAATATTCACTACCTTTTAAAGCAAGCATATATATCTATTTTCCAGGTAATTTCCCCTATTTGTTCTCCCCAAGACACTCCTCACAACTACAACCACCAATTTATCATCTTCCTGACAGTTTCACTCACCAAGGCTAAAAGACAGCACCACATTAAGACCGCATGGCAATCACCAGAACACCTTCTCCCCTAAGACCTATCAACCAAGCAGTTCTCTCTCTTAGTCTACCTGAAATCAAGATCCAACTCTCTATTTGGGCTTGTAATATTTATGATGTGTAAATACTATTTTCATTAATTAAAAATTTCCAACAATACTCACTTTGCAATCTTTAAAAGGAGTGGTTTTTGACTGATTCCTGCTAAAATACTCATCTATGCATGCTTGAAACTTTTTGGAAATTAGAGCTCCATCCTCCCAGCTGCACTCTGAGTATGGAAGGCCCTGCCATTTGCAATAATAATCAGGATAACCAGCTGCTGACTTCTGATTGGAATGAGCTGTGAGATAAATCAGATATTTATTTATTTATTTTCACACTGAATCTTATCCAAGGACTAATGTTTGGTAAAAAAACTACACAAGCAAAAATTAGTCATCTGGTTTACAATACCCTATGACAGTAAGACTAAACTACTGTATTTGATGTATAAGCAATACATTTAAATTTTTCTCAGATCGAAATGGAAAGATAAAACTTTAGTGAGAATCATTTATTACTAACCAATTATTCGTTCCACTATTTGATACTGTTTGTGTAGATCATCTGTGAGTTCTTGCTGGCAATTATAATATTCCACATCTTCTGGAGAAGCATTTTTCAACCTGAAAGATTATTAATCCAGAAATAAGACTTCAAAATCTCCCCTAAATAACCATTCCCCCAAATACTATCTGTAGCACAAAATCTCCCATTTGCCACTTATCATGTGAGTCAGCTGAATAATGAAGAAACTGAAATAGAATAAAGTGAAGCATCATTAATTTTTAATTTAAAAAAATGTATAATTTATAATTTATGAGATGACATTCTACATGACTATTATTAAGGAGAAGTTTAGATACGGCTATTTCCAAAAAGTTTTACCTTCAAATATAATTTAAGAGTATAAATAGTTATTTTAGGTTATTGGATTCTTTTTTTTTTAAAGATTTTGTTTATTTATTTGACAGAGAGAGACACAGCGAGAGAGTGAACACAAGCAGGGGGAGTGGGAGAGGGAGAAGCAGGCTCCCCTCTGAGCAGGGAGCCTGATGTGGGGCTCGATCCAAGGACTATGGGATGATGCCCTGAGCTGAAGGCAGATGCTTAACCGACTGAGCCACCCAGGGCTCCTCTTAGGTTATTGGACTCTTGACCATGTATTCCTTATTAACAAAAAGCTTGGTAATCATCTTTGAACTGTTAAAAAATTAAATGTAATATAAAACGTATTTACCATCTTTTTGTTTCCTGATCTTTTTTCTTATAATTATCCAATTTTTTCATTCCTCTAACATTCTGCTGCTTAAGGGTTTCTTCTGTCTCCCAAGTATTGTGAATATGGGACCATCCTTTCCATTTAATTAAATATTGGATCTCGCCTGGTTCCTTGTTTTTTTCAAATCCTGCATTTGGGTCACCATCTGCTTCAACTGCATAGATGGTTGTAGTAGCACCAGTAGCTGAAAAAGAAAACACAATACATTCCATGTAATTCTGCTATAAGATTGTTTCCTTCAACTCAAAAATTCAAGAATATGAAGAGAAAAATATATGTGCTTTTAAATAAGTAAAGAATCAGGGTACAAGAATTTAAGGAAAATTGTATTATACATACATAAAAGAAACTCCAAATTTTAGAATGGAAAGATTATCTAATTTAATTCCCTCAGTTTTAAAATTAGAAAAAACAAAGTCAAAAGACAGTGGCACACCTAAGATCATACAGTAATTTATAATAACCGATGACTGGATGCCTGATAACTGGAAATAAAATGATGAAAAATCACCTTTAAAAACTCCAAAATTATGTTGGAGATATATGTACCCTCGTGTTCAATGCAGAATTATTTACAACAGCCAAGACATGGAAACAACCTAAGTATCCCATCAACAGATAAAGAAAATGTGATTCACATATATAATGGAATACTATTTAGCCACAAAAAGAAGGAAATCCTGCCATTTGCAACAATGTGGATGAACATTGAGGGTATTACACTAAGTGAAATAAGTGAGACAGAGAAGGACAAATACCATATGATCTCACTTACAAACAAACAAAGGAAAAGCTCATAGGAAAAGAGATCAGATCTGTAGTTACCCGAGGCAGCTGGCAGATGTGTGTGGGGGGTAATAATGTAGATGTATACAGACTTCCAGGTGTAAGATAAATAAGTATTGGGGAGGTAACGTACAACACAATGACCATAGTCAACACTGCTGTGCAGTATATTTGAAAGCTACTCAGAGAGTAGATTTTAAAAGTTATCATAAGGAAAAAAAACTTTCCTTTTTTTCTTCTTCTTATTCTATCTATATGAGATGATGGATAAATATAAACTAAACTTACTGTGGTAATCATTTTGTAATATATGTAAGTCATGCTGTTCACCTTAAATTTATACATTGTATGTCATATGTCAATAAAACAAAACAAAAAAATGCATGTGAAGATAACTAATTTGAGATGAAAGAAAAAACATTTAAAAATAACCAAACTATTTGTGAAACTGAAAGCACCTAAATAACAACCATTATGTAGGCATGACAACTGGAAAGCTCAAATACGTAGATTAAAAATTTTTCTAATTATCTGTAATCAATGAAGTGAGGTTAAGTGGATTATTCTGTGGGAAGAAAACTCAGGCGAAACAAAGTATATTTTATAACAAATAAGTATAACAGATGAAAAGCCACCCTCTTCACTTTCAAAATGGAAATAACTTCAAGAAATACTTCACTTTAGTAAATATTACTGAAACAACCAAACAATAAATATGTTTTTTAAGAAAATACCTCCTTTTCTCCCAATCCGACAATCCATAAAACGTTCTATTGTTTCAAATTCCTCTTCCTCAGGTTGAGGAACATCCTCCCCACAGACTTCCAGTAGATCATCAGAATCTGTTTTCATTTCTTCATCTTCTTTATAGCTAACATTGACAGTTGCCTGGCGACGAGAACTTCTTTTATCATTATCATAATCTTCTTCATCATCTTCCTCCTCAGATGAATCAATCTGTCTCTTTTTTTGTCCAAGAATTTTCTTCCCATTTTTTGCCTTAGATCTAGGTAGGGAAGACCAAGGGATAGAGGTGTTTTATAGAAACACTAGCATAGAAAACAAGACGCAAGACACTATATACAAAAAGAATACCTTCTGTAACCAACAATTTTCAGTGTCAAGTTGAGAACATACTATACTCACCTATTTTGAGGTTTTCTGCTTTTAACTTTGTTTTTTGGCTCATAATCAGATTCTGTTTCATCACAACTGCTTTTATCTCTTTCTTCTTCAGATTCTGAATCTGAACCAGATTGAGATGGAGATCCTGACCCAGACATTTGCCAATCTTCACTGTACATAGAATATATAAAGTATGTTTGTTTATCCTTACATTGTATAGCAAATTTTATCTCTGATAAAAGTACAAAAAAAAAAATCAAACTGAACTACATTTCAGTTACTATAAAAAAAATTGTTGCTTTTACCCACACCAACACATTAAAATGTGAGTAGAGTAAAAAAAAAATGCTAGAAAATATTCTTCACAGATTTCTGCTATAATGCCAGAGTTTTGTTAATCATTTAGTTATACCTCAATGAATGGCAAATAAGGAAATGTTACTCTGATTAGCACTGTGGATGAAAACATAGTATGCTATTTAAAGAATCACAGGGTTAATTTTGAAAATCTTGTAGAATTATACTTGCCATCTCAAAAAAAAAAAAAGATTCTAATCCCTCTCACTTCAGTTTTCTGGAGACTGTGATTTTTTAAAAAAAATACACCCTGAAACTGATTTTTAAAGTACTGTACATGTTCATTAAGAAGCTTAAAATACAGTATAGAAAAATGTATTTAAAAAAAATCAGTCCATTTTAAGCAACAGTCAATGATTACCTTACCTTTATTGCTATTTTTAGTCTACTTGGGGTCTACTTAATTCTAATACACATGTAGAGAAAAATTACTGCATGAATGCACATGTTAATATTCTGCTATAATATAAACTTCAAATGGAAGATACGTATTAGATTCTTATATATACGCCATACCCTCTCTCTCACAGCTACTGCTTCTACTCCATTCCTCTGTATCTCTTGTGTCAATTATAACTATGTCAAGAGTTACATAAGCACGCACATATGCTAAAATCTGGTTTATGATAAAAACATGAGAAGCAATTTCTTTTTTATCTTGAGATCTTTTTAGAGTTTGCACATTAGAAATAGCAGTATATAAATTATGTAAAAGTATCTCCAATTCGTATTTTTTATAATACAAATTATAATGATTTTTATATCTAACCAAGCCCACCCATCACCCAAATCACTAGATTTTTTAAAAAATATTATTTGGCTGCACCTCTGCTAAGTTTACAAATTACTAACTCAGTGGAAGAGTTTATGGAGCTGATGAGACACAGTAGTTGAAAATGTAATTCATAAACTAGAAGACGTATCTGAGAAAATTAGCCATAATGTAGCATAGAAATAAAGGGATAAAAAACATGATACAGTAAGATTTATGAAGATGGATGATCCATTAGTATATATAATAGATATAATCCAATATGACTGATATATATTAATAGTAGTACCACCAGAGAAATTTATAGGATAAGAAAATGTCCAGAAAATAGGAATCTTCACATTAAAGATATATAAAATGAGTGAATAAAGTGTAATAAATAAATAACAAATCCAAAGCTAGACACACCAAAGTGAAACTGCAGAATATCCAAGACAAGTAGAAAAATAAGACCTAAGACAATGGAATGATATTTTTGACAAAATGAGGGAGAAAAAAACTCAGACCATCTAAATAACTGAACTGAGAATCTGAAGTTCCCTTAAACACCTTCTGGGTCAAGATGTTTAGGAAATTATATTGAATTTCTAAATGAGTTCTACGGGGAAAGCGAATTTCATGTGCAAATGAACAGTAAGATAGCTATTAACATAAATTAACAGAAATACCCAAAATTCCACTGGTCCCTACACTTCCACATAGTTTTCCCAAGTTATTAAGATTTTCTGATATTATGACCAAGTAGATCTCTGGAGTTTAAAAATACATAGGAGAGAGGGGTTAGAGAAGATAAACAAGTGGCACAAAAACCTCAAGTCCTCACAGAAAGATAAATGCTAAAGATTAATAGTTTAATTAACCTAATAAGATACCATGAACCAAGACTTTACAAAAGTCTACTTTTGACAGTTTTTCATAAAAAAAGTAACACAACATCAATAAGGTATTCCTGCTATGAAAGTGATCGGTTGAACAAAATGACATACTCTTTATGCTTTTTCCTTTTGACCTCATTCGATGAGTCATCAGAATCTTCACTGCTGGAGGAATCCTACAAAGAAGGAAAAAAACCAAGCTAATGTTATTAATGATTAGAATTTGACCATGGTATCAAATTTTTGCTTGTCATACTATTTGACATTCACTTTGCTAATAATGCTAACTATAAAGCTTTGTTCCCATGTTGTTATATTTGTACTGTTAGCACATAAAGTAATTAGTAACATCTCTATTACAAATTCGTAACATAGCCATTGACATTAGGTAAATAGCACAATGTCAGCATTTTGTATAACACCTTCAAATCTACCATCTCTAGAAACCATTATTGTTGCCCAGTATGGCCTCAAAAAGGAATTGTAATTATTGGTATGTTCAAATTTTGATTCAATATTTTTCTGCCCCATTAGACAGTTTTTGATATAGTTCTTTCTGAATGTTTCTGCACAAACACACATGCTGGTGTACTTACGTGTGCACAGGAACTATACTGTTTAAAGCTATGGCCTATTCTTTTAAAAAGATGTTGTGACTTGCTATTCATCTATACTGATTTAATAGACACATTTGTCTATGTATATTTTCATAGTATTCACAGTTTATTTCTAGTTTTGCTGTGATGAGCAAATGTACACACATGTCTGTTGCTTATTTTGGATTAATCCCTAAAAGTAGAATTATTGGATAAAAACATACTGATATTTGAAGGCTCTTGATACATATACTTAAATGTAGTTATTTCCTCATCCTTTCAAAACACTTACTGTTTGTAATAATTTCATAAATACCTACACCCAGTTAAATGGGCATTATGTCGACTTTCAGTGAAAACTCACCTCCTCCGATCCACTATTAGATGAAGCCTGCTGCTGCTGCTGCTGCTGCTGCTTCTTGAGCATTGCAGATCTCTGAACGGCCAGAATACTAGGGCTAGATTTCCAAAACTGCAACAGAAATATACCCAGTAAAGGATGAAATCTTGAAAAAACTGAAAAAAAGTTAATTTACTGGACAGCATTATCACTGCCTCCAAATACTAAGTTAAGACACTTTTCTGTACTCACATTACGTGTAATACAATATTATGGCAATTAAAATAAAATTCTGAGCTTTAGTTGCATATAAAAAATTTACGGTGTGCTGAGTTTCATAAACAATATTAATCAATATATTCTTTGGTGTTGAATATTATTTTCAAAAAACAAAGTGACAATATGTGACACCAGTGCTACTTGAAAACTGGTTGCCTGGTTTTTTAATTGATGTGAGGTGAAGATGAAGAGCTTAAGTCAGAATGCAAATCAACTATGTCACTAAGTATAGTTTCAGTTCAACTGACTTTTATTTTTATTTATTTATTTATTAGACAGTAAGATTTTCTCCATGTCAGAAGCTGTGTGTTGATGTACATTCTGGCCCAAAGATCTCATCATGACTGGTACTCGAAGTAACACTACTGTATTCCATTATGAGGTACAGATAGGTTTTAGTAAATCTTGTAGTAGCTTTTTTCAAACAGATGACCCTTAGCCTAATCTACCAAGTATCTTCAAGGAAGCAAGTTCTATTAGATTCTCCTGCTATTAGCAATAAAGTACCTCCTTTGAAGATCTTGAAAGTAGAGATCAGACACTCAAGATTAACAGAGAGACCTCACAAAGCCTTTAATTTTTATCCATGAGACAATGAATATTTATGAAACTCAGTTTCTGCCTTAGAAAGTGTTTGGTGGGCCCCTGGGTGGCTCAGTCGGTTAAGCGGCTGCCTTCGGCTCAGGTCATGATCCCAGGGTCCTGGGATCGAGCCCCGCATTGGGCTCC